CCCCCCCCCCAAATCGTAACGTGCGCATTGGTTTGGTCTCTTCGACACGACGCCGTCGCGGCCGTCCCCGTTCGTGAGTTAATAATCGGCGAGTCAAGGCCGTACATCTTCCGATTTCTAACAATAGGAATATTCTCGCCGGAGATTCAGTTTCCCGATTGCAAGGTTCGATTTTCTTTATTTATTTTTTAATTATTCTAGGAAACGGGTGTTGTACGGAAGAACATCGGTGACGATTTAAGGTTTTAGGAAGAGTATTGATCAATCTTTGATAAAGCAGAGTCTTGCTGGATTCGAGAGGAAGAAAACGATTGATTTGTTTGCGACGTCAAGAACAGTTTCAGGATACTTTGGCTTCAGGACAAGTAAAACATTTTTCTTTTGAGAAGGTCTTGTGAAGGTAACATGGTTGATGAGAAGGTGTCATTGCAAGGGTGTTGTGGTAAGGAGGAGATTATGGAAGAGCTTAGGAACTGTTTGCCTAAATGGGTTACACAAGAGCAAGTAACAGATTTGATTAGAGGGACATGTAGGAACGTAGTTGAGATAGTCGATGATTTCTATGAACACGAGACTATCTTCTACGAGCAAGTTGCTGCTGTTGTATCATCTTTCACTTCTAGAGATGGGTTTAGTTCGGGTAACCAAGAAGCACTTGTTTCAAAACTGGAGCTTCTAAGTTGTGAAACCGAGCGAGATGAAACTTGCAAGTCATCGCAGTTTCATAAGCTCAAGAGCATGAGTAGTTCACAGAAGATTAGCCTTTCTCCTGTGAAAAGGAACAGAAAGGTCAAAGGTAAACCAAAGAAGAAAGGAAAAGCTTTTTCTAAATTTGATTCTGCAGGTCCAAAGCAAGCTTCGATTACTAAGTTCTTCAACAAGGTTCCCTCAGATGATACCAAATGATACCAAAGTTAATAGGCTTAAGAAGCGGGTTGTCAGAACATTTTCCGTGATGTCAAAGAATAATAACCTCTTTGATACTGCACCAAGAATCTTGGAAGATTTGTAGCGACCAATGAATCCTGGACTACAATGGTTTAATCCTCATAACAAAAATCACCTAACGATCTTTGCTCTGTCACGTTTTTGCTTTGTAATAAGCTTTAGTGTTTTGTCTACATTGGCCCTATAATCCATACAAAGGTGGAACGATGGTCATTTAGTTGCAGAGTTCTCAGTGTTTAAGTTATGTTTAGATTCCAAAGAGCATTGCATTTATATCTGAACTTTATCTGGTTCCTGATCTTATTCTGGTAATGAACGTATGTTACTTAACGAAATCCAGTATCTGATTGAAGTTCATTCCCAAAACTCATTAGCATTGTAGATGGGATGAAAGCGTAAAAGAAGCATTTGGACTTCTTTATAACTTAAAAGCTACACATCCTATCTATTACCGTTACAAGGCTAACAAAAGATAACTTTCTATTCTCAATATCATGGTTCCTCTGCAAGTCTATCAAAAGAGAACTTCCAATGTCTTTAAACCTGGTCTCATGTTGTCTTCTACGCAATTATGTTCTCTGTGTTCTTCACAGACTCAATTAACGGTGGTTAACATGAGCAGTATATCTCAACGAAGAAAAGATCTAAAAAAGAAGAGGAAAACCAAGTGAGGACGGTCTAATGGTCTCGACGGACCTAATACAGATCCGGGTTCGAATCCTGCTGGTCACTGGGGGTAAAATTTAAAATCTAGATTTTCCGGTGACCGAAGCATATTTCGACCAATAGTCAGAACATGATTATTCAAAAAATAAAAATAAGATAAAATAAAAAAAGAACAGGAAACGTATTTTTATTCAATTTTGGTAATAGTATAAAACGAAAACCCTTATCGTTTTTGTTCTAGCAAATACAAACATTTTACACACCCCACAAGCTTCTAGTTCTTATGCTGCAACCTCCCACTCTCAGCACCAGCAAAAGGATCGATAATAACATTAACCACCGCCGGTTTTCTTGCAGCAAACGACTCAGAGAGAGCCGATTTAAGCTCATCCGGTGTCTCCACAATATACCCTTTGCCTCCAAAAGCTTCAATAAGCTTGTGATAGCCTGCATTTGGGACAAAAGACGTTGGTGCTGGATCTTCTTTATAAGGACCAGAGATCTCTTCAGGACTCCTCCTGTCACCACCATAGACACCACCGTTGTTGAAGACTATAACCACCACAGAAAGATCGTACCGAACCAATGTCTGCATCATGAAAGACAATATCAGATATATTCAGACAAAAGACAAGTCTCACATTATGGTAATTACTACCTCAACTTCCATGGCGCTGAATCCAAAACCAGAGTCACCTTCAACAGCAACAACAAGCCGATCAGGACAAGCAACAGCAGCAGCAATACAATAACCCAAACCAACACCCATCGTCCCCCAAGTCCCTGCATCAAGCCTCGTCCTCGGCTCTTTCTGAACCAAAACCGATCTCCCAACATCCATCGTATTAGCTCCTTCCGACACCACAACAGGACTCGGTCCTTCCACCGCCAGAATCGCATCCCTAATGATCCTCATAGGAGTCAAGAAGTTAAAAGGAACCACATCTTTCACAAGCTGCAACTCCATCTTCTCACCGTTCTCTTTCGCCTTCTTAGAAATCGCCTCCACCCATGGATTCCCCTTCCCAAGACAAAAAGGATCGTCCTTTATCTCTCTGTTCAACAACCCAACAACTCTCTTCGCATCTCCTACGATACCCAAGTGAGGCTTCCTCAGCGCAATCTCCTCCTCGGAGACATCAACGAGTATAAAGCTCACATCTTTAGACCATTTCGGAGCTTCTCCAAAATGGAGAAGCCAGTTAAGCCTAGCTCCAATCACCAAAGCGACGTCGCATTTCCCAATAGCTAACGACCTCGCCGCAGTAGCCGAAAGCTCGTGTGTATCAGGCAACAAACCTTTACCCATCGGAGTAGGGAGGAAGGGTATTCCGGTCAATTCAACAAGCTTCTTAATCTCATCCTCTGCTCTTGAATACGCAGCTCCTTTACCGAACACAATCAACGGCCTCTCTGCTTTCCTAAGAATCCTAACCGCTGATTCAATCTCAGAAGCACGTGCCTCGGTCACGTGCTCATTTAACTTTCCCACTCTCGCCACAATCTCATCAGCCTCGGACTCTCCAATCCTCTGACGCAACACATCAGAAGGAAGATCCAAATAACACCCACCGGGTCGACCCGAACCCGCCCGATCCAAAACCCTAGAAACGCAATCAGGGATCTCGCGAACGTCCTTCGCCTTCTCCGACAGCTTCGAGAAGGCCTTCACCGCCTCGATCTGATCCAACTCCTGGAAATCCCCGCGTCCGGCGTCCTTCTGATCGCACGAGCCGGAGATCATCACCATCGGCCACGTGTTGGCCCAGGCGTTGGAGAGACCGGCGAGGCCGTGGACGCAGCCGGGGCCAGAGACGGTGAGGAGGATGCCGGGCTTCCCGGTGAGGTATCCGTAGGCGGAGGCGGCGTATCCGGCGGATTGCTCGTTGTGGAAGGCGATGAAGCGGATGCCGAGGGACATGGCTCGCGTGGCGAGGGATGTTACGGGGATTCCGACGACGCCGAACATGTGTGTGACGCCGAGGTGGGATAGGGACTTTGCGACGACGGTGTTGCCGTCTATTGACGGTGATGCTGAATCGTCTGTCATGGTTTTTTTTTTTTTAACGGATCGAAGTTTGTTTCTCGGTTTGGTGTTAGTCTCTGTTTTATAGAGGCTTTTGATTTGTGATTACTACTCACTGTTACACACTTAAGTATGTGATTAGTAGTATAGTGTTATTTGCATAAAGTGACATTACTAATTTTAAAGAGAGTTTCTTCATTTGTTTAAATTTTTTTATTCATATAAATGTGTTAATATATTCTTTTTATTGAAAAGTTAGTTGTATGGGAAAAATACAAAATACAAAGGTAGTGTGAACAACTTTGGTCACTAGCGAGTCTGTCTTAGTCACCTAATATTCTCAATAATTGAATTGGAATTTATTTTAAAAAATTAATAAATTGAATTGGAATGTGTTAAAACGATAAGAAAATTATTTAATTTTGGGTTTGGTACAAAGCGATGGCCTTCTCTCTCTCGTCCAGCCGTTCCAGTCGATATTTCCTTTTTTCTAATTAAAAGATTGTTTTAGTGACAACTTGTCCCATTGAAGGTTCAAGGTTCAAACTTTTTTCAAAATTTTTTTTTATTAAAATAGTGAATAGTGTTGAATCTATCTCTTAGAAGTTTTTTTTGTAATGAATCCGATTCATCACTATAACGCGGATTCCACGACACGTGACGGTCCACGATTAATCTGTTTTTTTTAAATAAGAAAAAAAAAAAGAAAAAAAAATTAATCTTAAAAAATTGAAAAGTTGAACCCGAAGAAGGGGTTCATTGATGCACATGCTGTTACCGATGATGGTGATGATTGGACTAATCTTGAGGTTTGCCACCATGGTTGGCAAAGAAAAACAATTCGAAATTGGATTTGTGCTTCTACATAAGGTAGGGGATTTTGACCACGACAAAACAAAAGCCACCCTAAAAAAAGAACTCTCATGAACAGAGATATACATGACACTACACGCGACTCTAGAGAACATAAACAATTTTCTCCAACGATAGTAAAATCCTACAAACTTTAACTGTATTACTAATCTGCATGATTCATGCAGCATGGATAAATTTTCGGATATTCTGACTCCACACGTCCAATTCAAACACAGTGTTTTGGTAACATTCAAACACGGTTTTACAATACAACTTTACACAGTGGAACCTAGTAAACTTGGACTCGGTTAATTTAACAAGCAGATAAGATATTGTTTAAATAAAAATAGAACATAAAAATTCATAGTTTTGGATTACTTGAGTATCTTTTGTTAATAATACTTTTAGTTTTCTTATAATATTTTAAGTAATGTGAAGCTTTAAATGTAAATATAGAGTTTAAAAATATTTTATTTTAATTATTAATAGTTTAATTTAAGTATTTGTAAAAGATTAGATAGATATGACAAATATCGACTAACTTTGAGTTTTAAATAGTGTTGAAAATTTTAAGTAGTGTTGAAAATTATTAATTTAGGAGTTACAAATTAGTTTTATAATAAAGTCATGTATAAAGATTTATAAACTAGTTTAGGACTTATAAATCAATTTTAAACAATGCATAAATGATAATAAAGACTTTAAAATATTGAATAATTTTTAGTGATAAAAACTCTCAACTATGTATGAACCGCAAAAAATCCATCAACTAAGTTTTCAACATTTTAAACTTTCAACTTATAAAACGTTAACATCACGGTCTTTTAGACATATGATAAAAAACATTAACGGAATTAAAGTTGAAGGTTTATTTCATATGATTTTAGTTTAAGATTTATTTTGTAATACATATTTAGTTGAGGGATTTAATTAATAAAAATCCTTTAATAAAACAATTTGAAATTGGATTTTGTGCTTCACATAAGGTGGGGGATTTTGACCACGACAAAACAAAAGCCACCCTAAAGATCTCTCATGAACAGAAATATACATGATATTACACGCGACTCTAGAGAACATAAACATTTTTTTCTCAAACGATAGTAAATTCCTACAAATATTAAACTGTATTCATAATCTGCATGGTTCATGCAGCATGGATAAACTCTCGGATATTCTGACTCCACACGTCCAATTCATACACAGTTTATTTTTTTTGGGTAAAATTCAAACACAGTTTTACAATGACAACATTACATAGTGGAACCTAATAAACTTGGACTCGGTTAATTTAACAAACAGATAAGATATTGTTTAATATATAAAAAAAGAAGCAACGTGTGGAACCATTAACAATCAGCACATCTTTAGTGGCACGCACGTCTTCTAAATTTGTCCTCACGTATTCATATATACACTTACGCTCAAACATTCAAGAACCACCATTAAACGTTGCAGAATCATTATTCCATTTTAGAGTTTTCGTAACAAAAAACATGGCAAAATCGCTCAAGAAATCAGTCAAGTTGAGTCTACGACGAGTCCGGATCAACTCACCGTCCATTAGGTTCAATCCGGACTCCAGTTCCATAGAAAGAGACCAAAGAATAGAGTTTCTTGGCCAAAATGCTGATGATGCTGAATCCACAGGAGAAGGAAGCAAAGGCAAAATTAGCCAACGAGAAGAGACTGAAGTCAAAGAAAAAGAAACCGTCAAAGTTATCATAGAGGAAGAAAAAGAAGAAGAACAAGATGATGTCAAGAGCTTTAAAAATGAAGGGAAGAAAGAGGCTGTAGTAGCGGTTGAGACGGTTAAAGAGGAGGAGACTGAAGGCAGTAACAGAGTAATGGTGGTGGTGGATAAAGCCCTTGCTTCTACAGGAGCTTTAGAGTGGGCTATTACACATACCTTACAACCACAAGACACTCTTTTTCTCTTATACTTTGCACAACCATTTACAAAAGGTTCTTCTTCTTCTTCCTATATACATCTTCTTGTTTAATCTTCGTTTGTTTTCGCTTATTAAAGTTGTGGTTTTAGGTAAAAGAAAGAACCGAAAACGCGAGGTGAAAACTGATGAATTAGTCCATACTCTGAAGAAACTGTGCCAAACAAAACGACCAGGGGTGAGTTCACTCTCCATTGTTTATTATAGATGTGAGGAATTAGAGATGTCTAGGGATTTCTTGAACATTGGTTTGAGTTATATAATGGCAGATAGAGGTGGAGATAAGGAGGCTAGAAGGGAAAGACAAAGAGAAAGGAGCAAAGATAGTTGAAGAATCAAAGAAACAACAAGTGAGTCTTTTAGTGGTTGGACAAGAGAAGAAACCTCCTGTATGGAGGCTATTGAAGAGATGGGCTTGGAAGAGACGCCGTGGACATGCTGGTGTTCTCAAATACTGTCTTGAAAACGCTTCTTGTATGACTATAGCTGTTAAACCAAAGAAGCGCAAGCACGGTGGTTACTTAATCACTACCAAACGCCACAAAAACTTCTGGCTTCTCGCTTAAAAGACACCCTGCAAATTTTCGTCTTATTTTTGTGTGTTGTATCATCAAACAAAAAAAATATCCTTCTTCCATGGATTATTGAAATAACAAATGTATCTGCACATGAATTATCAACAATTTTCCCTATCTTCATCTGTTTAAAATGATTAAGAGTTTCTGTTAATAAACACAACAACATTGGGATGTAAGTGGGACTTCTTGACCTGTGTTTCCATTGTAACTACTGGAGCCAATGCTTATGAGCAATACGGTGAAGCTGATCATATCCAGCAAGCACTCCTGCTCCAGCTACTCCAAGAAGCATGTTGGCAGTAACTCCTCTATACAGCGCAAAGAACCCTTCATACTTCATAATCTCTCTTAATGCATGAACAGCGTTCCTGTATTTAACAGGCTGTCCTGATGTAAGCATCATTCTCCTCCTAACTGTGTCAAAAGGGTAAGCAATGAATCCTGCAGAGGTAGTAATACTCCAACCCAACAAAAAACTAGCCAAGAAGTTTCCCTGTCACAAAAACCAATTAATAACTATTGTTTGCTCTTTAGATAAGAACATAGGAAGATGATAATATACCTCCAAGGAACCGACTAAAACAATAGGTTTGATAGTATCATACATCCCAAAATACATCCCTCGGTAAAGAGTAATCCCTACTATCGACACACCAAACCCACGGTAAAGACCTTTAACACCATCACTTGAGAGAGTCTTACGATACACATCAACCATCCCTTTAAACTGTCTCTTCCCACCAACAGAACATTCTTTTGCATCAGTACCTAAACGAGTCCTTGCGTAATCAAGATGATACAGAAACAACGAAGTTGTAGCTCCAGCAGCGCTTCCAGACGCTACATTCCCAGCGAACCACTTCAAGTAACCGTCCTTCTCTTTAGAACATCCAAAACGGGTCTTGAAGTAACCTTTAAATGCAAAGTTGGAAGCCTGAAAATGACAAATAAGAGAGTCTCTAACACACAAAACAACAAGATGAAGTTATGTTTTTTTAATCAGGAAAAACCTGTGTAGGGAAATAGCGTATGACATTGGCTTGGTTTCCTCTCCAGAAGGAGAGAACACCTTCTTCTCTGAAGATTCTGAGGAAGCAGTTGCCTAAACCAGTGTAGGGTTTTGTGAGGTGTCCTGTTTTGATCATCTCTCCTTGGTTTTGGAGTAAAAGCTTTACTCTTTCGATGGGAGCAGCTGCGGATTTGGCGACAATGGCTGCTGCTCCTCCCATTAGAAAATCTGTAGAGAATTTATCTGGTTTTCCGACAAAAGCCATCCTTTTTTTTGCCCCTCACCTAATCCAAGAAAGAAAAAAAGTTATTATTGTAAATGATGAGAAAGAGGAGATTTTGAAGTTGGAAAACCTCTGGAGATTTGTAACTGATTCTCGCCGCGGAGAGAGGAGCTCGGCGGCGAAAGATGGTATCCAGGTCCAGGAGAAGAGGGTGTGGTTTGCTTTTAGCTTTGTTATTGGTTTTAGAACGCAGTGAAATAGAAAAGGAAGAGATAACCATATTCTGTGAATCGAAAGCTGGCGCACAGAACAGACGGAACAGAAGGAAAGGTGTTTTCTTTTTCTTTTTTTTTTGTTTCCTTTAAAGGTTTGTCCTTTTCTATTTTTAATTTTCTTTTTTTTTTTAGAAATTGAAAACGAATATACGCAACAAGTGAAGTGGTGTTTTTGCCGCGGAGTCGGAGAGAGAGACTTTCACTGAATTGTGACCATGGAGTTTTGCTCCCTCCAAGTTTTCTGATTCTAAGCGGTTTCCTTCAGACTCGTCTAGGTATTTCTGAATCCCTATGCTGAAAGTTCATTGCTTTTTTTTTTTTTCCTCTTGGGAACACATTCCATAAAGTTACTAATCTTTTTGTTTGTGTTATGTGGTTTCAGCAATTCTGGAGTAGAGCAGGCTATAGGCTGCTATGACACACCGGTAATTCAGGTTTGTGTTATTTTACTAAGGCCATCTTTATCGCTCGTATCTTCAATGGTTTTTAAGCCAAAAGTAATGGGGGGTTCACAAAAAAAAGGAAGGAACGTATGCAAATGTCGCCAAAGAGAAAACGTTTTTAGAGGATTGTTTGTACTGTTTGCGGGTCCCGCTGACACGTGGCGGCCTGCGATTAGTTTTCTTTTAAATCAGTCAAAATATGAAAAAAAAAAGAAATTTTTTTTTTTGAAGAAACCCCAAATGGATTTTACCGATAATGATGGCCTAAGTGTCTCCTTTCTTTTTTTTTTTTTTTTTTCTCTTGGCTTCCATTTAGGGATTGTTATTCTGTGTTACCTTGAAACTGATGGTGAGATACTTAAAGCTTGAGTTTAAGGTGTGTAGCTTTTACAAGTTTGGCATAGTAGATGAAGATGGCTTCTAATTTTCGTGGAATATACTAGGGCAATTGATCTGAGCCAACTAATCGTGTAATTTGCTAGCCTAGGTTGAGACTTGGTGCCATCTCTTTCAGTAACCTTTTTGGCCCTTTTTTGGTATGCAGGAACTTATTGTCATCGATGATCTCTTGTCTGCTTTGTTGGAATTGAAGGGAGATATATATACATATATATATATATATATCAATTAAAAGATTCCATGGGAAGCAAGATAGTATAGCTTTCCATGTTGATCCATCGATGGATTTGGTATTACAGGCAAGTACTACTCAACACAGTAAATCTTGTATCTTGTATAGCTACGCAGTCAACGTCGTAATTCTTACTCTACTTGCCTCCTCTGAAATTATATTGGCTGATGTGAACAATTTTGCAGGAAATGACAAAACGAACATTCCCGTTGTGTGAATGTTTTCTGCTGATTGACCTATTTGTAGAGTCAAGTTCACAGTTCAAGAACGGGCTAGTTAACCATGCATTTGCAGCTGCACTCAGGGCACTCCTTCTTGTATGTGATATAGGTTGCTACTTCTGTGGTAATTGTCATGCATTGTTTGTTGAGTTATTTTTCTTTTCTTTACTGCTTCATGTGGGGACTTTTTGCAAACTGGATCGTATTCGATTAAAACAGTAGTCAAATTTACATGAACTTGGAGTTTTTGTCTAACCCATGTCAATTGCATTGTTTGGATTGAGAGATATCATTTCTTGCTAGGGCTGAGGTAACATGACAACACTCTTTGCTAATGCTGAAAGTATTGATCTTTTATCAGGATTATCAAGCCATGGTGGCAAAATTGGAACATCAGTTTCGACTTGGAAGACTTTCCATCCAAGGATTATGGTTTTACTGACAGGGCTGTCTTTTTCAGAGAATCGAAGCTACAGGGGTTTGAAAAACTATGCTGATTTATTGTTTTCGTTTCTCTCAGCCTATGATGGGATCCATGCGCGCATTGGCTGCAGTAATTCAGTAGGCTTCAGCGAAGCATTATGTGGGCTTTGGTGTGCTTAATCTCTTACAGAGCCAGGTAAATTATTGCCTTGGTCATAGAAGTGCTCTTTGTATTATTTTGTTGTGCTGGAACTAGCTTTCTTGTTGTATGTCCTATTCTTGATAACTGTCATGCCTAGGCTAAAGCGATGGCTGGTGATAATTCAGTAAGGTCATTGTTTGAGAAATGGACCGAGTGTGCAAGCAATGCATACCTGAGCATACTGGAAAGGTTGATTTCACATGCCTCTCTCTTGCTCGTAACTAGACTCATAGAAATCTCTGCTATTGTTTGTGGAAATGCTCAGATAATCTAAGTCCAACCTATGGCTATATATTTCCTATGGTTACCCCACTTTGCTAGATAGCTCTCATAGAATTCTCAGATGTGTCAGCTAACTTGATTAATGTTTAATTAAGGTGGGTCTATGAAGGGATTATTGATGATCCGTGTGGGGAAATTTTCATTGCTGAGAACAGACTCTTGAAAAGGTACTTTGATTTTTCATTTCTCAGCTCGCCTGCACAAGTTTCAATTGCTTGATCTTACAATTTTCAAAAAAAAATTTTGTACAGGAAAGACTCAGTCAAGACTCGACGGCTGAATACTGGAGCCAAAGGTACAGCCTCAAGGAGACTATTCCTGGCTTCCTTGCAAACATTGCTGCAACAATATTGACCACAGGGAAATATCTAAACGTTATGAGAGAATGTGGGCACAATGTTCAGGTATCATTGTGGATAACATTTTTCTTTTAAGGTGATACTTGTACAAATTAACAGTGCTTGTGATATTGGCTGATATTTTGGACAGGTTCCGATCTCAAAGAGATCCAAGTTAACAATATTTGGTTCAAATCATCATTATCTAGAATGCATAAAGGCTGCTCACGAATTTGCCAGTACAGAGCTTGTGAATCTCATCAAGGATAAGGTAATAATTGTGTTATGATGAATGCTTCTTTGATGTCAAACCTCATAAATACACGTCTCTGACCATCAGTTTGTGATTCAGTACGACCTCATTGGAAGACTTCGCTCGCTAAAGCACTATCTTCTTCTCGACCAGGTATACTGGTTCTATTCATTAATGACCAGTTATCTTTGGTGTTCATCATACTATTCTAGGCACAAATTTATCAATGTGAAAAGTTTGTAACTGAATTGTTTTCTTCTGTCATTGATTGTATATCAGCTGTTTAGTTTCTAATTATCTTTGATGCAACAATGTTATAAACTACAGGGTGATTTCTTGGTTCATTTCGTGGACATTGCTCGAGAGGAGCTGAACAAAAAAGTGAATGAAATCTCTGTTGAAAAGTTGCAGGTAGAACACAATCAAAAGATTAGACAAAGCTTGCTGCCATTATTCAATCGTTAGGGCTCTCTTTACATGTTCGGTGGGATTTGAATGTATGTGTATTATTAGCCTTTGCTAGATCTTGCTCTACGCACCACAGCGGCTGCAGCAGATCCTCGCCACGAGGACTTGACTTGTTGTGTGGTGAGCAGTCAATTTGTCTTTTCCTCCATGTGGTCACTGGTCAATATACATAGTTCGCACCTAACTTGTTCTCACTTGGCGTTAATATCTTAGGATCGAACTTCAGTGCTTGCAACTTTGGAATGCAGAAGGACTCTGATAGCAATAGTATAGAGGACCCAGTGAGCATCACTGGTCTTGAAACATTTTCCTTGAGCTACAAGGTCTGCTCCTTTCTTGCCTTGTCTGCAACTTCCTGTTGCATCCGGATTCTAACTCCACAGCCTAAATACTATCAATGATGTTTATAGATAGCGATTAAGTTGCTTGTAGAGTCACCATTGGTACTAAGTAATTTACAAATGCATATTTGATTAGCTACTCAACTGTTTGATATGTTTTCTTAACCATTTGTATGGTATGTTGGTTGTGGCTTTGTGTTTCAGGTTCAGTGGCCACTATCTATTGTCGTATCAAAGAAAGCCTTGTCAAAGTACCAGTTAATTTTCCGGTTTCTGTTTCATTGCAAACATGTGGAACGCCAGCTTTGTGGGGCTTGGCAGATGCATCAAGTATGGACTAATAATTATATAGTAGCTAGCGAATATTTTGTGTTTGTTTATTATGAAAACTTTATTAGGCTATTTTGCTTCTTTGACAAACTTCTGTGTAATTCAACAGGGGATTCAATCTATGAACTGTAACGGTACAGCAATTCGTAGATCATCGCTTCTCTGCCGTAGCATGCTTAAATTCATCAGTAGCCTTCTACATTTTCTTACATTTGAGGCAAGTGGTGAAATTTTCTCATTGTGGTGTTTATTTTCAACTCTTATTTTTGCTTATATAATAGAATTTAGATTTATTTATGTAAGATTTTGATTGTCTAGCCGTAGATCCTATATAATTCCTTATGAGATGATTATGGTGTTTAGTTCAGCGTAACATTGTATCTGCTTCTATGTGGGATGTCTCTTCAGGTTCTGGAACCAAATTGGCATGTGATGCACGATAGACTACAATCCGCAAGGAGTGTAGATGAGGTAAGTGTTTAGAGGTCTGCTTTGTTATTGTTGGAAGGGAAAACATGCTTACACTGAACAACTATTGTGCCATTATCTTACACAGGTGATTCACGACTTCTTTCTTGATAAATGTCTGAGAGGATGCTTGCTTCTTTTACCTGATGTTGATGTTGCCAACAAAATTGACCAAATCACCACAATGGTTGGTGTTCTCAGTTCTGTTATGTCTTTCCCATCAGACCTTTGAAAATGAATAATGACCCAAAAGGAGAAGAATTTACCGAACAGAGATACCCAATACTGATAACCATCGTTAATAGTACTAGTACCTATATTCGTGAAAACTTTACTGTATTAGACAGTGAAAAAAAAAAAGACAAAGTGATCTTTAATCTGAAAATTTATCCAACTAATGGAGACTAAAACTAACAAGTCTTAAAAAAAAAACATACCAAGAAAGAAAGAAACAAAACAGAATCCAAGTATCACCAACACACAACGCATACAACTAAAGATTTTAAACTTTTTTTCTCTAAGTGTCGTTCCAAACTGTAAACGTTGGAGCCCCTTCTCCACCACCACCTTCTCCATGGAAGTACATATTAGAGCCAACATTATTCGAGATAGCCCCCGGAAAATCTCCTTCTGGCGACGGCTGGATCTGCTGCTGTTGCTGAGCAAAGTAATAATGGTTTCTTGCGTTATAAGCAATCTCAGCAGCAGCGTATGCATCGCAGTTAACCGGGGCTGCAAATCCTTGATAACCACCATAACCAACTCCATTTCCACAAACAGTAACCGAATCATCCGTAGCAGAATTATGATGATCGATATTAGTCAAGAAATGGTGCTGATCCTCCTCTTGTTTGAAACAAGCCCTAGCACTCTCCAAAGACAAGTTTCCTCCATTGTAATAACCGTTGTACCTCCTCTCTTGATGTTGCTGCAATAAGCTCAAATCGACTCCCTGATGATGCTGAACCGCAACGTTTTGCCAACCGCTAGCATTGTTTTCACTCTCTGAAACGTTATTACTGATCATCATCATACTTGGAACCGGATGGTTAACGTCCTTGAGACGTTTCGCTGCGCTACCAATAGGAAGACTAGGGCTTTCGAGGATTGCTTTAACGTTGTATCTGTTCATGTCGAAGTTAGTCACTGCGGTTAATCCTCTAAATTTGATGGCCGCAATGTCGTATGCCTCTGCAGCCTCTTCTTGTGTGCCTTCACATAAAATAATTACAAGTTACTTAGATATATATTTAAGTGTTTAGTTATTAACTTAATATATATATTGTTATAGATTTGTAAGAGAATATTAAACTTACCAAAAGTTCCTAAATAGAGGTCTTTGTTACCAGCGACTCTTCCTATCCTAGCTTGCCATCTTCCATGTTGGTGATGCCTTTTGGACCCATTAGAAAAAAATCTCCGTTATATAAAATGTGACATTTTGTATCTTTATGTATATGTATGAAACAAAACAGGATTGAAACATTGTATTCGTTCTCTATATATGGATACCTTGTTACTCCACGATAAATCGATGCACCACGAGAGAAACCACTGCTTTTCCTGCATATTTAAATGTGTATTAGCATGTGTATGCTGATTATTTGATGTGAATAATGAAATATTTAATAGTATATGCGTGAGCGTGATGGGTTTTGATATATATAATAGAATAGGGTTGTATTATTATAGATGCCATATGCAATAAATTGAGCAGTTCTATTATATACCTGCGCAGAGAGGCAACATACTCTTGCCTTGTCATGTGCTTCATCTCTTCTACCTCTTTCTCATATTCGCTCATCTGCATATTATATCAAACCACAACTACTTTTTATTTTAATAAACGCAACGATGTAAACATGGAGATTATTAGTAAGAAAATACCTTAGCAATAATTATATAATTCGACCAAAAAGAATAAAACTGGTATAGAAGTTATGAAATCTTATATTAACTTACGGGGAAATTAGTAGTAGTGGTGGTTCCCCAATACTTGAGTGCGGCGAGATCATAAGCCCTAGCTGCTTTTTCTTCTTTGTCATAACCTCCTACATGATCAGAACACAAATAAATTAGATTATAGTATCATTTATTCATCATAGCTTTATCGAATTTATAATAAACTACTTACCCAAATAAACTGGAGAACCACCAGGAGAAAATTTGGATAAACACATGAAAGAAAACTAGATTAGTTGAAAAGTAAATGGTGTATGAAAATGATTTACATAGTTTGAATATACATACCTTGTCTTCCTTTGCGAGTTTGGCCTTCTCTTTTGCAACTATTATCCCATAAATGTGCTTCATATCTTCCTGTCCACCGATGCCTGATCATTTAATACAAACATATATACATGTCATCAAGAACATACCATATATATGTATTATTCTATATAAGCCCACATACTATAAAAACAGTTTCTCTTTTGATATATATCAAGGAACATTCCATAGCCCTCTCCCAACGGAGCCACTAAAATGTGAAAGACTTTACCAAGAAAAACACGATTCAAGCTATACATTTTACACACTGTAATTAAATAAATGAAGGGCACCTTGTAACGCCACGGTATATAGACGTCCTCTGTCCAAAACTCTCAATAGTTTTCTTCGGTGTAGCTTCTGCGATATCAGCAATAGTCTTCCCTTGGAGAACAACATTATTATTGTTGTAGTTGTTGCTATCACAAGACGTAGATGAGTTCATTGAGAGGGAGAGGCCTCTTGCACCATTACCATTGTCTTGATTATCAAGATTAGCCACGGGTTGATTCCTCAGCCATGTCTTTATCATTGAAAGGCCTAGTGAGCCACCACCACCGTCTCCTCCTCCACAACTCACACTTCCATCTCCACCGTTTTCGTTGGTGTTGTAAATAGTGGTGTTGCGGCCAAGGAAATTCTCAAGCTTTGGTCCATCTTGCTCATTATTGTGAATATTATTGCATGCACCACCATTGATATCCCAATCTAAATAGAAAACATCAAAAATGACCTATATTAATATCATGGTTTGTTGAATCTAATTTAAATCACCGATCTATAATAAACGAACTGGATACTTGATTATTCTCTCCTTAAATTGTAAGAACAATAAAAGATACAAATTAAAAATATATATGTATGTGGTCATATAATTAAATTTCATTTCAAATCTATATATAGTATAATTGCCTTTCGGTATAGTATTTCATGATATGCAAAACAAACATCAAAATCCACACATGGAGATTCTCAAAATATATGAAATCGATAAAATAGGGCCAAGAAAAAATAGGCTACGTGCGTGCGTGTGTCTTGGTCTTTGTTCTACGCATTGGAAGAAGAGGAAAACTCAACAAAAAACAAATAAAATAAACAAGTAGTTCTAAGACAATAACCTCGGGAGTGACTATTGTTGTCTCTTGTGAAAGCATCGAGGACAACACCAAAAGGAGAAGGAAACAATGTTTGAATGGCTGAAGACTCATCGGAGGCAGCGGTCAGATCATAACAGTATTCACCGGCGACATCTACTCCCGTTGTGGTGGTGGAAGCGTCTACGTCCTGGCGGTGATGAGTTTGGTCATAAGGAGAGAGAGAAAAGCCTAGCCAGTTATTATTCATCGAGTTCATAGAATGATCTAACGAGTCCTTATGAAAGATAAGAGGAGAAGAACTTAGTTAGGGTTCATGCATGAAGAGGAGAAGAAAAAGGTTTTGGTCTTAAAGAAGAGAGATGAACAAGATGAAGAAAAGTCAAAGATATAATGTTTCATCTCTTCCGAGGCGACATATTGTGCGCATTTATATACACGAATTTTAATTAAATTCAGAAGGAACAAAAAAGAGTTATTTACTTGAAAAATGTGGAGATGTATTGGTCGGTTTGAATGGTGGGGGTGGTAATGTAATTCGACTGCCTAATATATTGCTTCCAATTTGGTTTAATAACATTTAAATTAATCAGTTAAAAGCCCTTTCAAATCTCTCTTCATGCGATGTCAAGTGTAAAGAGACAACAAAAAAAGAGAGTAACACGAGGACCAATAGTAAAATCAAACTCGCTCGCTGTCGAATTATGACCAATAATGATGTGTCTGTGAGAGACATGTGTATGTGTGAACCTATGACCGAGTGAGCGATTGCGTTTGGCGTTTTCTTCCAAACGTTAATTCAAAGATTCATGGTTTTTTCCTGCCGGTACTTGAACTACATGACATATACGTTCCCTCTAAAGATAGATAATACTAATAGTATGTAATCCGCTTCACATGTGCTCTCTATCACATAAGGTCGGCATTTCTCAGCCATGCTGATAACTTTTACAAAATTGCAATATGACATACTATTATATTGTTGTTATTTTGTACTAGCTATTTGATAATAGAAGTAATAAACTTAAATATTTAACGAAAACAAATACTGTCCAGTGGCTGAGGTACAACCAATTAAAACGTCCCAAAAGTTCCAAAACCAAAATATGATTCCGTCATCCAACTATAACATTGTAAACGCAAAAAAAAAGTAAACAATACTTCTTAATTACTTAAAACGAGTATAGGGATGCTAGAGATGTGTATCCTAAGCGATAAAAGTAAAGTAGTTGAGCTTATCCGGTTAATATCGAGTTATAAATGATCTAGGGGAACTAGAGTAATTAGGGAGGAGAAAATAGGGTATACACATGGATCAATGAAACGATAGTGAGCATGTGCATGGGTTTATAGTCTTTCAAATGTTTATACAATATTTATTTTGGACTTTCTTTGGTAAGTAAGATACGATTCAATGGATTCTCTTTCTCTATTTTATAATTTAACTTTATTTCCTCCATTATTATGCCTACGATATCTAACACACCACCAACACACGTTTGAGAATTGCCTCGTACCTACAAACCCATACTACTATTATTTCCTTCAATTTGTTCATATATGTGTTATCACCCCGAAACCTTTGGCACCTAATTATTTAAACATCTCAACCCAGTTAGTGGATCTACTAATTAAAAGATCCTTTATGTTTTGTACGGGACAATATTTGAATTGAAGAAATTAAAAAAATTAGTTGTAAGCATATTTATCATTCACGACAAACCTCACTGCATGTGTTTTTTTTAATAAGATTTAATTTCACTGCATGTATTAGTAATGCTGATCAGAAGTAAAAACGAGATGTTGCCCAAAAAAAGAAAAAAAAAAGTAAAAACGAGATATCGGATGGTACGTTAAAGTTCTGTGTAAAACGATAATTCTTTTTTTTTTTTTTTTTTTTGCCCAAAAAAAAAAAACGATAATTCTTTTTTCCCTGATGTAAAACGATTATTACTTGACAAAAGCAAACGATACGAAGGTATAACCAATTATTTTGTTGTGTTTAATTTGTAACTACAAACATTAATTTGTTGGGGTAAATTATTGTAGTGAGAAACACCTGTAGATCCCATCTGAAAATAAAGGAAACACCTGTAGATGAAGATATATACAACTGACAAGAGCGTGTGACCAAAGAAAATCTTGAAGTAAGTAGAAAATGAGATAGAGAGACTAAAAAGTGGTAAGAAACAAAAGAAAAAGAAGATGCAGAAGAGGAAAATATTATTAAAAGTTAGATGGATGAGTTTGAGATATTTGTCAGTATAAGTGCAAGTGTTCTGCTCTACCATTCTTCCACCCAATACCTTTTACTTTGCCCATTCATTGTGCATCTGCATGCACATTTTTACTATTTATTCAGAGATATACATACACAACATATTAGTAACATGTTCTTATTCAGAAGTATTTGTTATACTCCAGTATTTGTTAAATGCCATCTGATATTATGATAAATTCTAGGTGGCTATATACATACCAACTAATTAGTTTTCTGCTGTAAGAAGGAGGAATTTATTTTTGTTTTCTGACAAAAATGTATATAAGAATAATAGGTGGATACCTAGACCAACTAATCCTATGTTTAGTTGATCAAAAGAGGTTTCCTTAACTAATTCTTATAAACACTAATATGGTTTAGAACTCTGAATAAAATTAGACTACAGCGACAATGTTATAATAGTTAACTTATGAGACTGAAACCCTGGTTTACATAATCTTAATATTGCATGAAATGGCATATAATGACACAAACAAATATGTTAGATGTGGACGGATGAATTAACTGTAAATTTGACCAAGCCAATGAATCAAAATCATGGTTTTTGCGAAACCATTCTATTTAGTATGAACTTATGAACAATCAAATCAGATCATGTCAAAAACATTCGTCCAATTAGTGTGAACTCTTCTCAAGCTATCATGTTTCTTCTTACCAGTAAATAAATAGAGATATACTATACAATGTTTTTTTTTTCATTTTGGGAATGTAAAGACGAATGTGGAAATGATGAGTGTCTGCAAGAGCCTGCCTTAGCGTACGAAAACCCATAACACTGTCACATTGCAATATTTGCACCAGCCAATGTCATTGTCATACTCTATTATTCCATAAATTTCCAACTTTTCATTTTATAGTATATATAAGAAAGAAGCTTTATTTTGGTTCCCCCGGTTAAAGCGGGCGAGTTCTTGTATTTCCCTTCCACATCAGACCTATTGTTTGCATGACTGACATCTCATTTTAACTTTTTCTTTCTTTTCGTTTTCTAATTTATTATTTCTTGGAAAAGAGAAATAAAAAATCATTCGTTCAGATTTTTATCATCAACAGAATGGTTAAAACTGGCGTGCGCATACACAAGGTCCCATGATTGGAGTGTTTTCCCCCCTTTATGAAGAAAAATAACAGTAGAGATTCACTTCTCAATTGGGCATTTTTGTGATATGCAACCTCTGTTCTAAAAATCAGTCGACACATTGTTTAGGCGATTGTTTAGGCGATAGGCAATCTATTTCCGTCCAATTTATGCTAAATCACTATAGAAAATTAATCGTCTGATTTTGTCCATCTAAACTGTTTAGATATTGCCTAACTGTCTAGACGGCCTCCTAATCTAGTTTTTTATATATTTAATAATATTTTATCTATTTATTTGATCTAAAATTTAATAAATATAACTTATAATTATAATTTTCATGAAAATGATATCATATTAATTTTATATATTCTAGTTGTGTGTTTTATAAGATTTTAAACATAAAAAATTTCATGTATTAATGTTATATACAATTAAAGATTAATATATTTCATAAAATAGTCTAAAAAATTTTCCTTATATAATCTCCACTTAATCTTCGATTTTCTCTTTATGCGCTAGGCCCAACCGTGCCGTCCGACTAGAGTTGTTCCCGAATTATAAATCCTTGAGACAAGCTCACAAGAGCCCATATTATAAATCTCAAAGCCCACTTAAGTAGGCCCATACGTATATAACTCCAAAAACGTGGTGAGATAAACTCGGATCCAAACCCGGATTCGGGTCCATTCGAGAAGCGAGCCGACATCCACTTATCTATTTCCCACAAAAAACCCCATACTCTTGAAATCATTAAAATAAACCCCAAATTTTATTTAGGGAAAAATCTGTAAATTATTAAATATTAAGGGACTATAATTGAAACAGACTGAACCCTAATTTACAAAAACCAAATCGATACCCAAATCACTCTGTCCGCAAGAGAGAGAGAGAGAGCAAAAGGAAGATGGACGCCATGAGAAAGCAGCTCGATGTGCTCATGGGAGCTAACCGTAACGGAGACGTGACGGAAGTGAATCGCAAATACTACGACCGTGACGTTTGCCGTCTCTACCTCTCTGGTCTCTGCCCTCACGAGCTTTTCCAATTAACGGTGAGTTCTATAATTTATAGATCTCCGATGCTACATGTTGTTTTTCGTCTTCGAGGTTTTGATTCAATTGAGTATATTTGGTTTTGTTAGCTTGCTTTGAGCTTCTAGAAGTATCTGTTTTAGTACCGTTGCCACTTGAAATTTGCTACTGTGTGTAAGTCATCGTTTTTTTGCTATTTTATTCAAATTATGCATATAAAGGTTCAAAATTTGTAAGTTTGTTGTACATTTAAACCTGTGTTGGCTTGGCTCACTGATGTTTAATTTTTTTTTTTTCGTATATGTGAGTTTGCTAATGTGTTTTTTTGTTTGGTTATTTATCAGAAAATGGATATGGGGCCTTGCCCAAAGGTGCACTCTTTGCAGCTCAGGAAAGAGTATCCTTTTTTCTAATGAAATTTGAGTTTTTTTTCTTTGTCATATGCACAAGTCTGGAGCTTTTTGGCTTAAGATGTCACACGTGTTCGTCAGTGGAAAATTTATTTCTTTCTTTGTATATAGATTGTTTTTGCTTTAACTTGTGCTTAGATATAAAGAAGCAAAGGCAAAAGGTGTTGACAACTACGATAGGGAATTGGAAGATGCGATAGACAGGCTTATTGTTGAGTGTGATAGGAAGATTGGTAGAGCCCTTAAGCGTCTTCAGGAAGAGGATGCAAAAGCTGCAATTGCGATTTCTGTTACTGAAGTTACTCAGGTGATGGTCTAAGTTTTAGTTCGTTGAGTATTTTTTTGTATTATTTTTTAACTCAAGTCTTTACCTGATTATTTAATTGTATTACTGCAGTCACCCGAAATTCTCGAACTATCAAAGCAGATCAAAGAGAAGATGAAGGAAGCTGACCTTCATGGTAATTTAATTTATGTCTTTTTAAGCTGCTTAATTTTTAGCATACTCTTGGTTTCTTTTCCGCAAATCGATGTTCGATGGTTTACTGCTCTTGTAATTCCACAGAGATAGTTATGGTTGTCTTGAATGCCTAGCTTCTGCTGATGATGGTTGTGGTTGTATAAAACCTGCATGCTGCTTTAACATTAAAAATGATAATGTCATATCGCAGATCTTGAAGGAAAAACGGATATGAAGATTAGGGCTCTTGAGTTAGTTGAAGAGATGAGGACTAAGAGAGCTGACTTACAGGTATTTGATTACGTGCTTTGCTATTTGTCGCGTCTGGACATGTATTAACAATCCAGTTTTTTTGTCTTTTTTCCCTACAGGCTGTGCTGCTGTTGGAGGCCTTTAACAAAGATAGGGCAGCCTTGCCACAGCCCATCCCTGGTCAGCAGCCATCTGCAGCATTGCCTCCTCCGGATCCTCGTACGCAAGAGATGATCAACGAGAAATTAAAGAAAGCTGAAGAGTTTGGTAAGGGGCTAACTTCTAACTTGCAACTCCTTCGCAATATGTGGTGATTTTGGATCTATAGTTCTTTAAGTGATCACTTCCATGGTTGAATATTACCGCCTCTCCAATTTTTGCACTCTAGCTTTATTTGCCAACATGGGAGTTTCTGGTTGCTGATCGAAAATTTTACTTTGCGTTAACTGATTGCTTCTATATATGAATGTACAAAACTGAGCTTGGGAAACATTTGTTACATGCAATTGTGGATACATAAAAACGTCTGAACTTTTCAATTGGAAAACAGCTAATGTACAGTTATAATATCTATATATGTTATTTCAGGTGAACAAGGAATGGTTGATGAGGCGCAGAAAGCACTGGAGGAGGCTGAAGCTCTTAAGAAGGTTTGTGGTTTTCCGTAATTAGTTTTCTGTTTCGCCACTTATTTTCGAGATACGTCACACCTCATAGGGTGTGTTGGTTATGAAGTTGATTGCCACAGGGATATTTCTTATATCTTGTTTTGGGTAAATTGCTTGAATAGTTCGACATGCTTTCTGTTCCCCCCTACTTCACTTAATGTATACTATTTTTTCTTGGAAATTTTCAGCTGGCTCCTAGACAAGAACCTGTGGTGGATTCAACCAAATACTCTGCCGTTGATGTGCGCATTGTAAGTTGAAGTTGCCAATTTTTCTCTCTTTTTCTTTGGCATGATAAATTATTGATTTATTCCTCGTACATGCCCTCAAGATTCATTTTAGTAGGCATTCATTTCGGAAAGGTTTTAGCTATATGACTGTTTAAAGACTGTTTAAGGGATACGTTTTTTTTTCTTTATTTTGCGGAAAGCTTGCTTGCATGAAGTCTTCCAAATTGTCAAACAGCTTATTAGAAATTGCTTCTTAACAGAAGTATATCATCTTGTCGTCAGAATCTGTGTACCGTCTCTGTTTCTTTTGTCGGTTTGTTAACTGGTAGCCTCACTCCCTGTTACATCCTTTTGTTGTCTCAGACGGATCAGAAGCTGCGTCTATGTGACATATGCGGAGCATTCTTGAGCGTCTATGACAGGTTAAGTTTGGTTACTTAAAATTTATTTATGCTTAATGGTTCCTTGGCATTTTAAAGAAAAAGCTAGAAATAGATCTTGAGTTGCACGCGGCTCATTATTTGACACCGACTGTTGTACCTCCTTTTCACCAGCAGGCTATTTGGGCCCAGTTTTACGAGGATTACTTTTGCAGCTAATGAATGTGCGTTCTTTCTTGATTTATTGTGCCTGTTTAGAGAATAATAATAGAGTTTTAAACTATACATATCTTTGGTCATCAATCTGTGATTTGCATTTTGGCAATGTCAAAAAATCTTTTGTACTGCATTTAGTGATCGTCGGTTAGCTGATCATTTTGGAGGGAAGCTTCATCTGGGTTACATGCTGATCCGAGATAAACTAGCTGAGCTTCAGGTAAAATACATTACAACTTCTGTACTAAGATTTTCTCAGTGTAGACTGTTTAGTTATATCTTCTTTGTCTTCTTCAGGAGGAGAAGAACAAAGTTCACAAGGAACGTGTCGAAGAGAGGAGGTTTAAACTTTCTTAAGCTTTTCAATTTACTTCCTTTAATGCTCAACATTTCTTTTGATGAAAACTTACTAATCATAGATCAAAGGAGAGGAGCAGAGAGCGAGAATCAAGTAGAGACAGAGACAGAGGAGATAGCCGTGACCGTGGAAGAGATGTTGACCGTAGGAGTAGAGATCGCGACAGGCACCATGACCACCGTGAACATGACAGAAACTATAATCAGTCACGTGGTTATGACTCAAGAAGCCGGCGTAGCTCGAGGTCCCGGTCTAGGGAAAGACCGAGGGATTATGATCGCCGCAGGTAATTTTTGATTCACAAACAAACGCATTATTTTCTGCAAATTCCTTTGGTTGCATCTATAAGCTTATCTGATTTTAATTATGTTACAGACGTCATGACCGCTATTAAGAAGCTTTAAGAGAAGGTTGCAGCAAGTTTGAGAGGTTTTCAAAGATGCATGCGTTTAGGATCAATCTGGAGTTACAAACACTTATTATCGTATGTGTTAAAAGATATTTGAGATTGTAAGTTTGTAAGAGGAGTTTCGTCGGATTCTTCAAAGCTTTTAATACGTTGTTGTTGACATAAAAGACTTGCGAGTAGAAAAGACTTGTGGTGATTACATGGCTTTTTCAGATACTACTTTTATCTTCACCAAATTTCTCATAAAACATAAGTATTTTTGGGCAAAGTGGTTTATTCCACTTCCAAAGATGACACAAGTGGCGTAGAATCATGAACTGTCCGACACAAGTGGCTTAGAACCTACGAGCGATTTAAATGTTTTGTTTAATATATAACTCCTATAAACTACACAGAATAAATAGCATGGTTGGAAGTTGTGTTAAAAAAAAATAAGCATGGGTTGGTTCAACGTCAAGTCTACTATGTACTTCTCTCGGTTTTCTGCGTATAACTTGTTTTTGAAAGTTTTAACGAATTATTGACGTTTAGATATATCAAGTTAAAAATATTAGAAAAGACAAAAGAGACATATACTGCCTATTAGTTTAACCGGGGAAAACTACCATTGAAATTAATCATTTCATTTTTCCCATCTTCTCGTCTCAGGTTGGTATGTTAATTGAAATTCAGTGTCGAAAATAACCATTTCATTACATTTACATAATGATATGACATAAAGTTTGTACATCTTTACATATTTGTTTTTTTCTTTTTGAACATATTTACATTTTTCTTATTCAGCAGAACAACCAAATAATCACGCAAACATATTTCACAAAATATATCTCTATATAATTACTTTGGTTTTATCTATTTATGTGTAGAAAATATGACCTGAACCTACATATATTCATTTGTAGAAAACGGGAAGGTCAAATATCATTGGTAAGTCAACATCACACTGTATGATGTATCACAAAGCATCTAAAGTTCTAGCATTGTTGAATGATTATATTCAAACAATAAGTAACGATCATCGTTCATTTTATTTTTGATTAAAGCATCTTGTAATAGTATTATATATAGATTAATGGTTTCTGATAAACGAATCATATTAGACAATTATTGAGACTTTATTTCGAATAGATAATAAAATGGATGACAAAGCCATAACCCCATAACCTTTGAATCGAAACGAAAGCAAATGCCAATAAAAAAAGGAACTTTGTTTAATAAGGCCAATAAAAGAGCTTTTAGCAAATCATTCCTCACTACAATAATCTATACAGATTAGTCATGTTTCTTGTTTGAAGACTACGTTCCAGAACTATTTCATCTCTCATAGATTAAAAATGATACACAATCCATGAAAATGCATGCACGAACAAAATAATTGTTAAAATAAGATGGATTTTTTTCTTCTTTTATTGATCTATTATTGTTTTTTTTTTTTAATTTCACTTTCTGTTCATAGTACATCTTTTCTTCTACAACATTCTCGTGGAAAATAGTTATAAAATAAACCACTAAAAATGTCAAACAAGCCTATATATACATGGAATCTTGAATGCATGTCACGTAACTCACTTCTCCTTCTCTATTAAGAAAGGCTCTTTCTTCTTCTCTCCCTATATATATATACACACACTCATACACATATTTATATTCATACCCATTTGATCATATATTAAATACATATTGTTTTGGGAGAAGCTAGAATAATGGGTGCATTTGATTATATCTCTAGCTTTTGTTCATATACATACTCTAATGCCAAAACCAAGCGTAAGCCACTGCAGGTTTGTTCATCTCATAATATATTTGCTTCCCTGCTTTTTCATTATTTACAATACATATATATTACCTATACACATATATGAACATGGTTAAATTCAAATGCCAATAAGTTTTAGAACGTGTCTTTTTGAAGAAAAACAATGTTTTTAGAACGTGAACATGTTTTATTAAACCAAATAAAAACACTAATTATTCCTATCCGTGTCTTATTTCGTAAACATGTTTCTTCAAAACTTCATCAAATTTTTCGCTGTGTATATTATTTTATCGGTACATCACAGAAGAAATACATGATGAAATAAAATAATAAATCATAACAAACAAGAAACTAATGTGAGCTACATGAACTACTGAAATGCTTCAGATTGCTACTGAACTACATGACAGCAGCAAGCTTCGATATTTAGTTTTAATGTCTATAAGAGAATTTGAAGATTAAATATTATTTTATGTATGGTAATGAACTTTGTATAGACAGTGGAAATCAAGGTCAAAATGGACTGTGACGGCTGTGAAAGAAGAGTTAGAAACGTGGTTCGTCGCATGAAAGGTTCTCTTTTTCATTTCTGTCTGTCTTTGAATCAAAACTTTCGCCAATCTCTCTTTTCCTTTTATTCTCGCTGCTTTAATTTTCTCTTTTTAAGATCCTTATTCTATCTTAAAATCAAATTTTCATGACTGGTCCAAATATATAACTCTAATTACTAATCATTTGCTCAGATTTTTCGTCTGAACTGATTAATTATGGTTCAAAAAGTTTGGAATATATTTTCATTTCTATAAAAGGTTTTCTGATATCATTTTGTTAAAGTTTTAACTAATTTTTGCAAGTTATTTGTAAATATAACAATTTTGATAACTTTCAAAACTTAAAAGCTAGATTCCTCAATCAAACTCTAGTAAAATAAAATTGCTAAGGGAATATTTCCTTAAATATAATTTTCAAAGTTTAAAAGTTTTTTTTTGAGAAAGAAATATAGATTATACTTTTTTATTAAATTAACTATGAAAGAGTTTAACTATTAAATTAACTATCAAAGAGTTTTAAAGTTTTTATTCATCTTAGTTTTTTCAGTTTTTCTTCAAAAAAACACATCGTTTAAGATAATCGATTACTTATTTTCCCATGTGTGGAACCGACCGGTACAGGCGTGAAATCGGTTGAGGTTAACCGGAAACAGAGCCGGATAACGGTGAACGGGCACGTGGACCCAAACAAGGTGTTGAAGAGAGTGAAGAGCACAGGAAAGAAGGCAGAGTTTTGGCCATACATACCTCAGCATATGGTCTATTACCCTTTTGCCCCTGGCATGTATGACAAACGCGCTCCCACTGGCCACATCCGCAACCCTACACAAGCGTTTCCAGCCGCAAACACACCCGGTGAAAACTACGTTTCCCTCTTCAGCGACGATAACGTCCACGGCGCTTGTTCCATCATGTGAAATTTGTAAGAAGCATAATATATATTATCTCTATTTTCTCTTTTTGTGTACGTATACACTTCTACTTTTGCTACTACTCTCTTAATACATTAAAAAGTCATGTATAAAGTATGAAATAAATTTTTAGAAACAATATTTTCACATCTGGACTAAGATGATCTACGTTCATATTTGTGTGTTTGTTTGGAATGTTATAACATGGTAACGCAAACATAAACATAAAACCAAATGTGGCCATAGTATTATGATTTATCTATTATGTATGATGGCCTAGCTCTAACCTAAGCTTAATAATAGTTCACTTATGCAAAATATCTTTGTGCTTTGCTCAAAAAGTTATATTTTGTTTTGTTTTTTTCTGTGGTTGAGTGATGTTCCATGAAGTCAAACAATAACCATAAGCTAAGTGGAATCTTAAGAGGTGAATACTGGAAGCATAATGGACCATTTAAGCAGCAAATGTTCTTGAATTTGTCTAATTTCTGTTGGACATGAATGGTAACTTTGACAATATATAAATTTAATAAAGAATATTAGGAAAAGACCCAAAAATCAGCATCTTGTGATTTGTTAAGCAAATTACTTTAATATTTGGTTTAGAATAAGCTTCAAAAGGTAAGAGAGTGTCAACATTACAAGTTCCAACTTCTTTTAACCAAAAGAAAAAGAAAAAACTTTTGAAGATCAAAAGCTCATAAAGCTGTATTCTTCCCTCCCCACAAAAAAAATGTCCAATAAGGACCAAAGCATCTCTAGCTTTTCCTTCAAAGCTTCTTTCTTTAGAAGAAAGAATACTAAAAAGGAGCAGAATCACTCCAAAGGAAAGCTGCTTAATCACGGTACCGATTATTTACAGGATTGACATCAAGATGAAACAGTCACAAGCTTTTACCGTTTCTGAGCTTTCCTTCTTCTGGACTGTGCCTTCTGCCATTTCTTCCTAGGCACTAGTTTACTCTTAGGCTTCAACTTTATCTCAGGTGTGAACTTAAAGTTTGGATCTCTCATGTGAGTTTGTATATCTTTAAAGAACTGCATGTTCAGTCTCTTAGGTCCACCTTTTCTCAGTTCTTCATATTCAGGCCCTGAGATAATGTTCTCAAACGCTCCAATAAGAATGTCGACGTCACTCATCACTTCCCACACGTTTGTGTAACGCCCGTCAGGCCCTTTGTTCAGCTTCTTCAGCGCGTTCTCAACAGCAAGCTTCCTTGCCTCTTTACCAGGTGAAAGGTCCTCAGGTTCGTTTTCAGTTTTCAACAGCTCAGAGATTGTCCTGTACTTTGGTTTCTCTTCAAACTCAAACAACTTGTCTAAGTACTTATCAGATGCTTCGTTTGGGTGTAGATCTGTTGGAATATCATCGTCATCATCACCTTCATCTCCAGTCCATAAGGATTTCTCCTCATCACTTCCAGACCAAACACTGTATAATTCGTCACTGTCATCTGCATCTATCAGATCAGAGTTGTCTTTAGCTTGTTTCCTAGCTTTCTTAACCTCTTTCTCAAGCCGGTTTCTTCCACTTTCTTGCTTTGTATTAGCATTGCTTTCGTCCTCACTTCCTGACAATAGAGTATCATCATCATCATCATCATCATCATCATCATCATCATCATTCTCCATTTCTTTCTCCCAGGCTTTTCTAAAGTCATCATCACCTGGTTTCACATTACCAAACAGGTTGTAGTCTTCACGTCTTCCACTCGCATATGATCGAGTTCCTGCAAGACAAGTAAATATAGAGCCATGAAAGTCACTAATAAACAACACAACATATAAGCAATCCATAGATGTATTGGCAACTACAAGAATCCTAAATCAAGACCGCCATTCTTGTCAACCAATGTATGTCGTTACTCTTGTTTGTAGTTCCCCAAATAAACAGCAATATAGTCGGACAAAGTTTTTGTATAACATATGTTACGAATTTGATCACTTCATTACTTAAGAAGCAACACATAAACTTAATGAACCAAACAATTATTCAAATAGTTTATACCATTTTTCTCATTTTAGGTACTCCTATATAAGACTAATAATACTTATGTAGCTTCCTACCACAGTTTCATTATATATCATTATTCAACAAAAAAATAAAACGAAACTTTGAACAAATGGTATAAGTTCTCACTGCGGCATTTCCACGAACACCTTGTCAACACTACTAAATCTGATGACACGAACAGAGTAAGAGAGTGCGTAATGAAACCTTGTAAGTTCTGGAGAAATACCCAGTTTCGAGCAGAAGTAGCTTGACTCGAAAGGAAGCAACTTTGTTGATCTACAAACAAAAAATCCGTCAGCTTCGAGAACTCATTTAGGGTTTTTTAATTGAGTTTGAAATTGAAGTCGCTCGCTCTATGGAATTACTGATCCATAAGCAGAACCAACCTTTTGGCGAGGATCATAGAGAACAGAGGAGAGACTCTTCGCAGCAACAACATATCTTCTTCTCGTCGTCAATAGTCTTTTTTTAATCGACGGTTATAAAGCTGAGATATTGTTACAACAGTAACTTTTATTCTCCCGCGCTATCTTAGTTCTGTTATATATATTTTCTTGTATTGATCTGGATTAAAAGTTTTGTGATGTAACGCCACTTGTCCTGAATACATTTATACTAATATATCATTTGATTCCAAATTTCCAATATACTAGTAATTTTTATTAGCTTTCACGTAGTGTATACGAATACAAAAAAGCGACAAAATAACAGTATAATGAGTTCCATCATTACATAGAGTAAATCTTTAGTTGGTTATTATTATACATATCAGAAACTAATCCATACTTGGATAGTTGGGTTCGAAACTTTTATTACAAAAAGAGTAAAAACATTTGTTAACCAAAGACATACAATACATACATATCATATTAAACGAAGACAAAGTCAAATGGGAATAGATCTTGAGACTTTAGGATAAACCACGGTGGCTGGATGACCCATTATACGGCGACCCTTTCCGTGTTTAAATATATAGACCACCGCACCAACTGGCCATTCGATGATTCCGGTCACCAGAAAAGCCACGAATCCTAACGTCGGTCCCACCACTTTGCACCGACACGGGTTTTGTCTCGTTCCACACTGTACACACGACGGAAACGCCATAGCCAACTTCTTGTTAATTCTTTTTTTGCAGATTCAGAGAAAGAAAAGAACGAATAGTGAACGATTGTGATTTGTTGTTGGAAGAGTAAAACTAGAGGCAGGTCTTTATAGAGAATACTGCTTTGAGTTTTATTATACTTTCTTCTTCCCACGTAGGGTCGGTTTGTTACTATTTTGAATTATAATATCTATAGATATTTTAGATTTTAGGTCGGCTGATTATTATTTGATTATCGTCTTTTTTTTTTTTTTTTTTTTTTGAACGTCATTTGATTATCGTCTTAAGAAACAAAAGGAGATATCAAGATGATAGACACGTGTCGTGAAGCCACAAAGGTAAATAGACATGTGGCTTAAAATTGTTGGAACTGAGTTAGGAAACTCTCTTACGTTAGCCACTTTTACATTTATGATCGACTATCCACGTGAGACGACTATGATTGAGGTATTTTATAGTCCTTTCAAGTTTATGCACAATGATCCTTCATATGGTAGGGATTTTAACCCTTTCAGGTTGCTAATAACTTATTTAACACAATAAATTTAGTTATATGAAGTACTAAAAAGCAAAGCATATATATATATATATATATATATCCATGTAATCTCTATATATAATTGAGAATCTCAACTTTCTTTAGATGAGCTATGGTACAATTTTGATTGGAGTTCTTACAACAATACCAGCACTGGAGTTCTGAAATGTTTTAAGTTCTAACAGAGCACTTACACCGTCTCTAGAGCCACCCCACTCTTTCCATGAGAGATGGCGAACGGCTACTACCATATGGTCTCCTCCATGCAAGACCCATAATTAATTCCCTTTACGTTTCATCCTCTTCTTTAGCAATGATGGACGGGCATGCCCTCCACTGCTCCACAGACAGCCACATGAAAGGCCACTCAGAGCCAACATTTCTTCTCTCAAGTACTTGCGCATAAACACACTATCTAATGTGGAAAGTTTTTGCATATAATGTTGAATTGTTTTTTTTTTCGTCGACAATGTTGAATTACTTTAAGCTTATATTATCAATTTTTGGTATCATCTAGGAGAAAAAATTTGAGCGTGCGAGAGAGAGAGGAGAGAGAGAGAGAGAGAGAGAGAGGAGGAGGAGCTTACTTTGTTCTTCTTCGATGACCACCGTCGGCGACTCCTCACTGGAACCACCAGACCCAGATCCACCAGATCCAACTTCAGCATTTACTATCCCTTCCACCTCTTCTTGTTTCCTTGTCCTTTCTCTCACAATTTCAGATCTAGATCTAAAAATTCAAATTTTTAGAGAAGCAGATTTGAGTAGCCAAATCTTCAAAGACACTCTTGTCTCCAAAGATTTTGGTATTCTCATTGTCGTGTTCATACGACCCTTTTCTCCAGTATACAGATCCTTCTTCATCACCTCTTATTCTGAAGCTCAACCTTCTGCTACCGGATCTTACTCACTGTCATCATTAGAACCATTCATCCTTCTACTGGATACATCCCTGCAGATTATAGATTTGAAACTTTATGTCTCTATCTTGCTTGCTTTGATGTTGTCCTTCAGGTGTTCTCTCGTACCTTGTTACGGTACGCTCGCCTCTGTGCGATTCTCTGCAGTATGCAGCCTATGTTCTAGTCTCACTCCAGCAATTGATAGTTTAAAGTTGCTTCCTTATCGCTTGTGGCAGATTCGTAAGAAAACACTTGTTGTTTCTATCTTTTCTCTGAATTGTTTATCCTTTGTGAAGTATGATTGTCTCCCATATGTTCCATTCGGTTTGAGTGGCTGTGTTGAAGGGAGTAGTGTGCCCAAGATTATGTACGCTTCCAGGTTTGTTATGTTAAAAGGCTCATCCATTTGGTGCTTTGTCGCCTTTGATGCCGAACTTCTGATTGTTAAAGCTGCTTCGTTTGCGGTTTCAATCTGGGACGTTAGACCAGTACTTGTGTTCTCTAATTCCCAAAGCCTCATTTCACTTCCTAGCACGATTGGCGTTGAGTTTCGAGGACTGCTCAGCGACATTAAGTGTTGTTTATGTGTTATGTTTGCTCCTATCTTATGGTGTTGTATCTCATTACTCTGTTTTGCTATGGAAGCAACAGATGATTTAGCCGGTTTGGCCTTGTTATCATTTGATGTAAACAATTTCTCCAGTTATGGAGACTAATGATTTATAAAACTGTTGTTTGATCAAAAAAAAAAAAAAGGTATCATCTAGCTAGAAAAACGGAAATCTAAATAGACTGAACATATAAACTGATCAGTTTAGATTTAATTTACGTTTTCGTATAAATTATTAACTAATCCGAGTATTAAAATCTCTAGCTAGCTACTTGAATATTTTTTTCTTTTATGAAAGACCAGGTCACATCCTATTACTGGTAAATTTAGTTTTAATTCGGACTATTTGAGTTCAATTGTTGTTTAGTGTTATTCCTCCAAAAGTTCCTAAATAAAAGCACATCCGCAAACTTTTTTGTCACTGAAATAGTTATATAATTAGATAATTTTTATTCCTCGACCAAAACAAAGTTAAACGAAGAAACTTTGAACATCATAGAGATACACAAACACACACATTATGGCTGATGAGGCAGAGAAAGCCGATCACGACCTTATTTTCAAGAAATTTGATGCCAACGGCGATGGAAATTTTTAAGTGTGCTAAGACTATTTCAATGTTAATTATTTAACTTTCAACTCTAAAATGTATTTGATTAGTCATTTATATTTTATTATTTAAAGATAATTTCATTGATTAACAAATTTAAATAATTAATTAGATAGATTTATTAATAAGTGATTAGAATTTCATCAGAATAAGTGGTCATAAATTTGTCAAGTAATGATTAGAAATTATTGACCATTTTCTTATGACATTTTTGACGACATTTCTGACCAAATATATGGTTAGAAATTAGTGAACATTTTCTGATTAAGCACATTTCTAACGGAGCTTTTTTATGACAATAAATAGTCAGAAAGTGGATAAAAAAACTTGTTTATGACCAAATTACGTCGGATCAAGTGGTCAAAATTTAAACTATTTCTTGTAGTGTAAAATCTCAGCAGCCGAACTCGAGGAAGCTCTTAAAAAACTTGGCTCAGTGACTCACGATGACGTGAATCGTATGATGACTGAAATTGATACTGATGGTGATGGAAACATATCATATCAAGAATTCACCGATTTTGCAGGTGCCAATCGTGGACTTATGAAGGATGTTACCAAAATTTTCTAGAAAAGTATTTGCCATTGTCTTTTGTTTGAGAATGTCTATTACCTTTTCGATAAGCATTGTTAAATTCTCCAATGTGATAACTGCGATGAGAGGTATATATATATATATGATCACTTTTTGTTAATTTTAATGGTATGTTTCGTTAAAATGTTTTTTCTTCAATTTTTTTCCTTTAAATTCACTAAAGTTCAAAGTCCTTTAAGCAAATCAAATATCTCAGATTCAGCCTAGCACAATTAGAAAACATAGTGTTGAACATATAATCTCTCACATAGATGGAGATGATCAGTCCGGTAAAGCCAAGAAAATGCTCTCGCTAAAGTGGTGCAAGTAAGCATTGTGAGGAGCTTGAAACACTTGCAAGAACGTGCGTCTATAGTTCGCAAAAACCTAGCTTGTCGCAGTCACGATCCATGCTTCCTATTAGGTACTTCCTACAGTCCATTCCAAATAAAGAATATATTCTATCTTGATGGTTCAGAAAAAAAAAATATATACTATCTACCGTTTTACTTCTTGTTAGAATAGCTCTATTGAGGATATATAGATAGAGTTCTCATAATTTAAGAAAAAGAAAAAATAAGTAAAATAGGAAAGAGAATGGAAAAAGAGTTTCACTGCAGAACTTTTTAACACTATGTCTATTCATAGCATTTCAATTGATTTTTTTGTTAAAAAAATAAAGCCAAAAAAACAATATCATTTTCTTTTTTCTTTTAGAAACCATCATGGTTTGTAACCAATATAATCCTGCTCTTAGATATACATACTAAACAGTGATCTTGATGTACATGTTAAGAGTTTAAGAGATTGATCTATATACAACCCTGTTCGTTTAACGGACGCTGCATTCAATATTGGCGTCTGAGATTTGTTCATAAATTTCCTTATCGATGATTAAATTAAATGAAGAATAGAAACTCCGTGTCAGAAAAAAATGAAGCTTTCCGGTGTTATTATCGACGCCAAAAAAGTAGCGACCACTATTCTTCATTTCTCTTTCCTCTCTGCAACAGAAAACAGAGACGCGCGTCAGATTTCTTCCCTCTTTCCCGTTGGATACTCTTTTTTCCTTCTGAATTTTGATCAGTAGTCGCTGCCGCAGCGTTCGTTAAACGAACAGGGCTAATATATGATTCGGATGACTGGTTCAAGAACGAGTACTTCTCGCGGTGAATCCGAGCTAGTGATCCTGTGGCAAGTAAATATGGTTGCCATGCATTAGTATATGTATTATGAATATATACATAATACATGTATTTTTTGGGTGGTGATCATCCACCGTCTATTAAATTTTTGTTTTTGCTCCAATTATTGAAGATATTACTGTAGGGGACAAATTTCAAGACTCGTTTATAGTTTCTAGTTTACACATTTCTAAGCAAAAACGGTTCACCCATCTGATCAAAACCTGACAAGTTAGACCTCAGAACCGAAAAGTAGAGGCTGAACTCCGGCTTTTCAGTAAAGATTCAAGACCTCAAGAGAAGGTTAGCTTCTACCTCTCCCCTAACGTTAGCCTCTATTAAATAACCGAGTGGCTCCAAAGTCTTCGCATGCGTTACCACATCTTAGGAGGTGCAATTAAATAACGTCAATTCTTCATTTTATTTATTCAAAAAAAAACACTAGCTCGTGGTTACATACACACATTTTCCTCGTTCTCGAATCTCAACGACAATTGGGCCCAAAGTTATTAAAAAAGTACGGAAAACGCGGGAGAAAATTATGGGCCAAAAAGTCATAAACGAAACTAGCGGGGTAAGTCACAGTAAACACAAGAACATAAAGGTTACGATTTTGCAATTTTATATTATTATTATATGTTTTAAGAAAACACGTTTTCTTCTGACGACATATGTCTTAATCCATCCTCTACCGCCGCCACTCCGCCGCAACGTCGCTAACTCTCCACGCCGATGCAGCTATGAGCGGTTTCGTCTGCCACGCAAGCATTAAACTCCCGTCATTCTCCTCCACTCTATACCCATCTCCACCACCAGATAGCGCCAGCAACAAACTCGCTTGCTTAAACGCGTCTGATCCGAGACTAACCGGGTCAAACCCGGCGGATCCCAACCGTTTCCGCCACTGCTCCAACGTCTCATGCCTCTCTACCCGATCATCTCCTTCCGCAGCCACCACGTTCAGGATCTGTCTCCCTAAGTAAACCTCCGACATAACACGGTCTCGACTCGGTATTAAAACTCCATCCTCAAGCGAATCAAACAAGCTAGAGTAATAGTGAAGCGCCTCATTAAACCGTTCCAAGAAAACGACGCCGTTGTGATTCGCTTCTTGTTCCACGACCGTTACGATACTCGGTCTAACCGCTTTAACAGTCTCCAACAGCTTTTCAATCGAACCGGGTCGAGCTAAAACCCGATGTAACTCGAAAACAGAATTAACCACTACAGTCTCCGATTCCGGTCGGATCTCGAACATTTCCGGTTCGAGATCGGTTAACCTCTCAACGGTTAAACCTCTAAATTCGAATTCAACTCCAATAGCTTTCGCCAGCTGAGCTAACTTCCACCCTAACTCTCCAACCCCACCGCCGCCAACGCCGGTGAGACGGAACGTCGGAGAACCTCCGGGACGGAGAGCCAATGCCTGCATCAACGCCGGCCACTGCATCCCTTGATTGATCCCTAAATCGATCACGTGCACGCCACGCGCCGTCGCGACTGCTTCTAGAATCGCCTGGTTCGCCGTGAAATGCGCGAACTTGAGGTAAGGGCACGACTCGTAGAAGTGCATCTGGAGAATCTCTTCGAAAGAAGGATCGATTACGGAGGGAGGGTGGATTCGGTAGATCCGGCGAGCGAGCGCTTCGGCGAAAAAGGCGGCGACTTTACCCATCGCTCCCGCCTGAGTTGCCGCGAGTGATCCCACGCGTTTCACGAGCGCGTCTGCGAGGATGAGATTCTCTCGCTGGACGGCTTCGGCGCACGCCACTAAGGCCTGGACGAGTCTGACTCCGGTCTCCTGAGAGTCGACGGCGGGTATTACCACCGGACGAGTTGACTCGGTGGTCACTGAGTCGCACCAGGGACCGAGTCGTCGGGTCCTCTTGCTGCTGCTGCTGTTGGTGGTGCTGCAACACTCGTCGTCGTCTGGTGTCGGGTTGAACATCGGGTTCGGGTCTAGATCCGGGTAGTGGTTGAGCTCGGAGAGCATTGTCTCGGCCCAGTTAGAGAGATCAGAGGGATTGTAATGAACGGTGTCGTTTAATGCGTTGGAAATTAGAACGTCGTCGTTGGACAGAACCATTTCGAGATGTTCAAGCTTCTGTGCCACGTCAGCCATGTCGGAAGATCGAACCTTGTACCCTAAAACAGACAGAAACTCGTCCATGTTGTCCATGTTATCGTCTTCTAGCTTCTTGCCCATTGAATGAGATTCTTCTACAGACGTTTCTTGATGGCTTCTCTTCATAATCAAGAATGTTTTTTTTTTCTTTGGTCGGTTGATATGTGGTTATGGTATGGGAATGAAATTATTGGTGTTAGAATTTAGTAGACAAAAATGTGGAAACAGAGGAGAAAGAGAGGAGAAGAATTTAAACACGAGAGAGGAAGAGAGAGAGGTCCAATAAGGGCAGTGAGGGACCTGGAGAGTGTGCAAGTAAAAGAGATAAGGAACACAGAGACAGGCCATTATACTTAGCCATGTGTTTTCTCTTGTTATATCTTTCATGATTTCGAGATATTTTTTTTATAATAGTACTGTATATGACTTATGCTATTATTATTATCTCTTTATGCTTTTTTGAATTTCTGATCCAAGTTACAAAAAATTCTTCGCTCGATGCTCTATTCTTATGATTATCTCTTTGTTTAATGGTCCAATGAACTGTCACAGTTTATTAAACTATTTTTTACTTTCCACTAGATGTTGAATTTAAAGTTTCCAAAAATATTAAAATGAGTGCTCAATGAGATATTTTATTTAATTATCACCATAAGCAGTTCTCGAAATTGAAATACTGATTAGTCACAGACTCACAGCTGAATAACTTGAGCAACTTTGTAACTTTCAAAACTAGTTTGCTTTCCTAATTTTTTTTTTTTAACACTAATTTGCTTTTCTAATTATTTTGTTTAAATAGAGGTAAGATACTAGTAGTACAGTAACACTAGTAATAAACAGGACATAATTATGTAATTTTATTATTTAACTTGGCAAAACTTTAGTACAGTATATTTCAAGAAAATGAGAATAGATCACAGGTCCCAAAGGAAGTACAGCTCAGAGTATTTGAGTTTGTGAGACAACGTGACCAACCTCACGGTCGACATGTGGCGGCAGACATAGCTTACGAGACGTCCACAACATTACGTTAGTTTCTTATTTTTCTTTTATTCAAAACTGCAGTTTATATATTACTATACCAATACATACATCATCAACATGCAAATCACATGCGTTCTTGAAAAGAAAAAGACTTCTCTAAATTGTTGAATAAAACGCACAAGATGTTAATCTATAAATACCGTATATAATCAAACTGATTATAACGTTTAGATTCCTCAACTTTTAATCAGTTTCATAAGACAATAAAAATTACTAGTTATTACATTTGATGAAGGTTCACCAAGTTACTTGCCGAAATTTCAGGCGACGATCCACTGATTTATCCGCTTTTAACCTAAATAATTATCCAAAATGTGTGGCAAGAAGCTATTTATCCACAATGTTCCTTAATAATCTCAAAAAAACTTTGAAGTCTATCATCAAACTAAAACCTCATATATATTAGTCAATTATCTTTTAAATAACTTAACAAATCCCCTAATATTATGACAAAACCTTTCTATATATATACTAGATGGTCATCCTCAAACAAAATCACTGAGAGATTAACATGGCAAAAACAATGTGGATGTTTTAACTAGTAACTTTAACTTTATTTTCTATCTACAACCATATAAATCGCCAATTATGCTTTAAATAGTTTTTAAAGCTAAAGTCAAAAAATTAAAAAAATGGTTGTAGGAGCGATTGCTGTAAGAATATATTTCTTTTTTTTTTTCTCATTTAATTTCTACAGCTACATTAGATACAACTACATCCAAAATTTATAAACAGACTAATTTCTACAGTAAAATTTCTACTGTCCAACCAATCGCCCCCATTATTTCCTTTAACTCTTCTTTTGTCCTTGCTTTTGTCATCAATATATCTAACCCTAGCAACATATTACCCACTCTACACAAAGTCACGATGGATAGTAAACAAGAGTGGCCACCGCGTGAAGCTAGCATGCGTGAACTGGCCTTCACACCTTAAGCCAGTGGTGGCCGAGCAGCCAGCCAATGGATAATATATATTTCGAAGAAAATAAGAGAAATGGGATTCAATTGTGTTAGACTCACTTGGCCACTTGAGCTAATGATTAATGACACCCTAGCCTTTAATGTTACCGTTAAACAATCATTTGAGAGATATGGCTTGGATCATGAGCTTCAAGGGATTTACACTCACAACCCATCCATTATCAATACACCTCTTATCAATGTATTCCAGGCAAGTATACATAATTAATCATATGATTCATGAAAAACAGTTTTTAGCAATCTCCGGATTCTTGTTTTACTATATGTTTAACTTCTAACACAAGCAACACTTTTCTCAGGCCGTGGTGAATAGTCTAGGGAGAAATGATGTGATGGTGATACTTGATAACCACAAGAACTTACCGGGTTGGTGTTGCAGCAAAACGATGACCCGGACGCGTTCTTTGGCGATCCAAAATTTGATCCGGATCTATGGATGCTAGGTCTTAAGAAGATGGCCACAATCTTTATGAACGTGAATAACGTTGTTGGTATGAGCTTGAGGAATGAACTCAGAGGTTACAATCATACTGCAAAAGATTGGTACACGTACGTAATAAATTCCTTTTTTTTCTTTATCATAATGCCCATGTGAAGCTTAAAGACCAAGGAAATTATGCACGTTAATTAGATCTTAACTGATTATATTCCCTTTGTGCTATAAATAATTAAATCCCCCAAAATAATTTAGTACAACTGCATCTATAAGAAAATAACCATATGTATAATAAATATTATATATACTGGTTGATATGGGAATCCAAGGTTCATAGATTAAACAACAAGAATCAACGCAGAGAGATAATTTATTAATTTACATGATTTTGTTGATTCTAGCATTTTATATTATTAATGTACTAAATTATTAATATGGGGAAAAGAATTATTAATATGGCAGTTGGAAATGATATTTTTCCTTTTTTGCATGTACCTGAGGTTCATAAACTGAACAACAAGAATCAACGCAGAATAATAATTTGTTAATTTACTTGATTTTGTTGCGTCTAATATTTTATAATATTAATATCTAAAATAATATGGGAATTGGAAATGATACTTTTTTCACTTGGTAGGTACATGCAAAAAGGAGCAGAAGCAGTGCATGCAAAAGATCGACGCTGACCTAACTTTCGTAAAAGATCGCCCAGTGAATCTTAGCTTTAAGAAAAAGCTTGTCTTTGAGCTTCATTGGTATGCTTTCACCAATGGTACTGGTCAATGGAAATCGCACAATGTCAACGATTTTTGCAGCCACATCTTCGCTAAGGAGCGTCGTACCGGAGGTTTCCTTTGGCTTTCCTTTGTTCTTGAGCGAGTTTGGGACTGATCAAAGAGGTGGTGATTTTTTAGGAAATAGGTATATATTACATATTGGTTGAATACACATTTGAGGAAAGTCCAAATATAGTCTATAGTATTGATTTCAAATTATAAGAAAAAAACAAACGGGTCAATTGTTATTTTTGCATTGACATTCACTTTGGGTTATATAGTTTCCAAATGAACCCATGATTTTAATTTTTTTAAACATATTGGTGTCTGAAACAATCATGGCTCTTGAAATATTTTATCAAACGTGACATTAGGTACATGAGTTGTATGCTAGCATGGGCAGACGAGAAAGATTTCGACTGGGCGGTTTGGGCACTTACGGGAGTTTATTATTTCCGTGAAGGCAAACGTGGTGTAGTAGAAGCTTACGGTATGGTAGATGCTAATTGGCACCATGTTCATATAACCATACTTATCTCCAGAGATTCTCTGTCATTCAACCACCGCATAGAGGTATAGATCAATCTTGCTTTGCTTGTAAATTAACCTAACGTATCATCAAATACAAGTTTGAGAAACTAACTAAACTGTCAAACAGGACCTGGTATAAAGCACAATCATCACAAGAAAGTATTCCATCCATTATCCGGACTATGTCTAGTGATAAAATCACCGTGCCACGAGCCAGAGCTCACGTTGGGTCCATGTACAAAGGACGAACCGTGGAGTTATTCTCATGGAGGCAGACTTGAAATCAAAGGAGGTCACAAATCTTCTGTAGAAGGTGAAACATCAGTTGGGAAGAGTGTGAAACTCGGAAAGAAATGCACAAAGATTAAGCTAATATCGGCCACAAAGATGCATTTTTCGTTCAAGAATTACAATGGTTCGTTGGTATGTTTAGACGTGGATTCGGATAACAATGTTGTTGCTAATCATTGCAAGTGTTTGACGGGAGATATTAGTTGTGAACCTGCAAGCCTTTTTTTTTGATCAATTGGATACTTCATTAAGACTTTTAAAAATAAAAAGTTTATGGCCTCGGACCCAAAAAATAAGACAGACATGATTTAGCTAGCAGATCAGCCGGCCCATTAGAGGCCCGTGGAATAAAGACGAAAGAAACAGAGGTGAAGGGAGAAGCGGTGGAGAAAGCCAAAGAGTCGATGTCCGATAGGATCCCGTAGAGATCCGTCGATCTTCTTCTCGATGTGATAGCTCTGACGAGCACTTGTGAGTCTGTGCGTAGACAGATGTCTGTGAGCCGGAGTGATGACGCTTGGAGAAGGGCTTCTCGAATAGCCAGGGCCTCCGCCATACAAGCAGATGAGACGTTGCTCTGGGGGGAGGAGTCTTTGTGGAGTACCTGCATGTTTTGATCTGTGAAAATCCATCCCAAACCCGCAGTCCTGCTTTCCGATCTCCACGCTGCATCGGTATTGCAGAAAATAGTGGAGGTGTTGATTTTGGCGTTGAGAAGACTGTGTCTTGGAGGAGGTGATTGTGTCTGGATCGGTCTAGTCGTCTGAGCTTGTTCCCACTCCTTTTGGGAAGTAATTGCTTTCGTCACTGTCTCCTGTGGTGAGAGGATCCTGCTCTCGAAGATCCTAAGATTCCGGGAAGTCCAAATCATCCAGCAGAGCCACGGAAAAACATTACCTGTGATTCCAAAGGGCGGGAGGATCTTCCATGAGGCTGCTTCCTGGATCATCAATCTGAAAGTAGAAGTAGTGTTGATGCTAACATCATCTTCCCACGGTCCCAGCTGCCAAACTTCTTTTGCAAAAGCACAGTGGAAGAAGATGTGGTCGATTGTTTCACTAGCCCCGCATAGATCACACGTAGTGTTGCTGAGGAGACCTCTGGTTTGTAGGTTAGCTCCTGTTGAGAGGGCATTGGATGCAATCTTCCACAAAAAGTACTTGAGTTTTGGTAGCAGCTCCGGTGTCCAAATGTGCTTCCTCCAGTTCCAGGAGTCTTGTGTGTCGATGGGTAAGTCTATTTGTCTTGTTTGATTTTTCAGAGCTGAGAAGTACCCAGACTTAACTGTGTAGATGCCAGAATTGTGTAGGGGCCAAACGTACGAGTCTGAGGTTCCAAGCAAGCTCGGTCTTAGTGATAGGATGTGGGATGATAACTCTGGGAGCAGCTGATTAATACGAGTTGTGTTCCATTCCTTCCTTTCCCTTGAGAGGATGTCCGCCACCATTAAATCTTGGTCCATTATGAAGACAGGTCCAACTGGTTTTAAATTTGTGGAGGGGTCTATCCAGGAGTCGCGCCATAGATCAGTTGATTCCCCATCTCCTATGGCTTTCCCAAGGTGTTGGAGTAGGAGATCCCGTCCTGCTAAGATTCCTCTCCAGCCGTGGGAAATCGAAGGTCCTGCGGTGGTTCTAAGAAAAGAAGTCTTGTGGCAGTACTTACCAAGCAGGATCCTTGCCAGCAAGCAATCGGGTTTGGTCAGAAGCCTCCAGCTGATTTTTGCTAATAAGACGTGGTTAAAGGCTCGGATGTCTCGAAAGCCCAGTCCTCCAAGGTTTTTAGGCAAGGTTAGTTTATCCCATGCGACCCAGCAGATTTTATTATCACCCTCCTTAGGATCCCACCAAAATCTCGTTAGAACCGTTTGAATACGTTTGCAAAGGCTAATAGGCAGTTCAAAACAGGTCATCGCGAAGGAAGGCACAGCCGAGAGGACAGACTGAAGCATCGTGGCCTTTCCCGCGGTAGAGAGGAAGCGTGTTGTCCAGCAAACTGCTTTCTGTTTCATCCTGTCCACTATGGAGGAGAATAGATCTTTTTTCTTCCTACCAAAGTGTTCCGGTAGGCCGAGGTATTTCCCAACTCCTCCTTCTTTCTCTATTCCCAGCTGTTCCTTGACCCGAGCTCTAACCTCAGGTGGTGTTTTTGCAGAAAAAGAAATAGAGGATTTTTGCGCGTTTATCATCTGTCCCGAAACTTGCTCATAGTTCTGAAGGATCTCCATTAAGGCAGTGCAGTTGTGAGTGTCCGTCTTGGTGAATATCATGGTGTCATCTGCGAAGAGTAAGTGGTTCAGTTTCGGACATTGTCTTGCCACTCTGATACCCGGTAGAGAGCCATCTAATTGCGCCTTTTTACACAGACCCGAGAGGACTTCTGCGCAGATGATGAAGATGTATGGGGAGAGAGGGTCTCCTTGCCTGATCCCCTCTGTGGGATTACTTTGCCGACCACTTCATTATTGAGAAGGAAGGAGTATGATACTGTCGACACACATTGCATCGTCCACATAATGAAGGTATTGTCGAATTCCATTCTTTCCAAAACCGTACGAACAAAAGACCATTCAAGTCGGTCATAGGCTTTACTGATATCAGTTTTAACAGCCATGGAACAATGCTTGACTGCTCCTGATCCCTTTAGGTAGTGTAGGACTTCGTGTGTAATGAGGACATTATCAGAAATGATGCGCCCGGGTACGAAAGCTGACTGTGTTTCTGATACTATGTCTTGTAACACAGGTTTGAGCCTTAAGGATAGTATCTTGGATATCACTTTGTAGTAGACGTTACAAAGTGCGATTGGTCTATAATCCGAGACAAGTTTAGGGCTTAGGATTTTTGGGATAAGTCTGATGTGTGTCGAATTGATGGAGTACGGTAGCATCCCTGTAGTGAAGAAAGCTGAACCTGCAAGCCAATGGTTCAATATCTCTGAGGTTTTTATTTATTGAGATAATTGTGAGAATAAAACAAAATGCATAGAATAAATTAGGATTAGTGGATTGTTTGTGTTTTTTTTTGGGTTCGGGAAGACGATTTACAAATTAAGCTTTTGTATTCTTCAAGTTTGGAGTTCGGTGGAAAGAAAATTAATATATAATTTTTTCTAAAGATAATAAGTTTAACCAATTTTGATTATATTGTTGTGACCGAACGTCAAAACTCATGATCGTAGATTCATACAGATTTGTGACAGTCAATAGCGGCCCTGGACAAAAGCCATGAAATCATATGTTTCCGACCATACAAACGTTATATAAAATTTCTGATACCATATTAGAAATATCACATTTAGTTCCTCTACATGTCATGACGCACAACACTTTGTAATCATTATCGATGGGTCTCCTCAATGAATCGATCTCTGGCAGGTAATGGGTCATCTAGTGCAAGGCTTATATATATCACAAGCCTAGTAGATTGTCCATAGCAAATTTAACCGTGGACGAAAAGAAGCAATGGTGGTCCACTGTGCGGTGTGGCAACTCGCATGGAAACTGGTCAAAGCATTTGACTCATGCGTGTAAGCGTGTTTTGGGAAAGAACCGATGAGAAATCTACACTGCGATCTCCATGTTTCGGAAAGTGGTAAACGTGTTCCTGTTTTGGAAATTTAAATCGTAGACGTTTTTGAGGGTTTACGTAACAAAATACCATTTTGCTATTACAATCATCCATAACAAAAACATAACAAATCCACATTAGTACATAATCTTAACTACTACAAGCTTTAGAACCTGAAGCTCTTACACCTTTGACAAGATTCGCTTACTAGATAACAAGCCACTCCCATCTCCATGAAAATAAACAACTCTATTTCCCACAAGACACTATTTTATAAAATTCAACACACATCTAACTAAAGCTTACTTGGTTTAACATTTGCTGGTTCAGCTTAGCGGCTTTGAGCCTGACCATCCCAGTAAGTATAGCATCTTGAATCTATAGTTGTTTCAATCATAACTTCTACAACAACTTCAAACTCATGACACTTCAAACAGTCTCTCCACAATGATCATTTACCGGCTGTTCAAATCGAATTCCCCTGCTTCACGCCAGTTCTCCTGTTCACCCGTCTCTCCATTCTCATTCTCCTCATCATTCAAGAAATCTTCAGAAGGCTCCTTCTCATCTCTCTGACTATTATTCCCCCATCCATTCATCATCTCATCAGGGTTCATGTTCCTTCCATGCTCTCCCATCTCATGACTCAGCTGAATATTACTCCCCTGATTCCCAACCGCATTAGCCCTCAAAGGGTTCCGAGCCATTATCTCGGCATGGGACTGTGACTGTCCAGCCTGAGCCAAAGCAGCCATTCTCAGCTTAGCTTCCTGAGCCTCCCTACCAGCCTTCTCCCTATCCATCTCTGCTTTCAGCTCAAGTAAACCCTTTCTTTCTTCTTGTAGCAAAGCTTGCTCTACCATAAGCCTTTCCTCGGATCTGAACTCTCCCATTGCTCGCTTACGTGTTATTATGTTGAAAGCTAGGGCTTGTTTCTCAAACGTTGCAGTGAACTCAGCAACTTTGGCGGCGATGTTGTTGTCCCATTGCTGAGAGCGGGAAAGAGCTTGGCCTGTTGGGTCTGAATCAAGGATTCTATCGTCCTCTTCTGCTTCGTAATCTGCTACGACATGGTAAGGCAATAACCTGCATAGGGGAACATGTATGAGGTAAGATAAGAAACAAAACATATACAGAAATGTTCAACCAAGGCAAGAAATCTATCTAACAAAATTAAAACAATACTATGCCAATGGAAAGTTGGAAACTTTCAACACAGAAATGAAATGTGAAGAACCAACTATTAGTACCCGGGATTAACGTAGCTATACTAAAAAAGGAAACATTCATAAAGTTTGTAATTTTAAATCAACCACAAAACAACAACAGCCAGAGACAGGGCTGGTTTTGAGAGTTTGGGGGCTGTAGAAGATTTAGAAAAGATTTCTATTTAAAAAAAAAATTAAAACAATTTTGGGATCCTATGTCTATATTTTTCTTCCCCAAAATTTTGGCGTATAGATCAATGTTTCAATTGACTATGCCCAGTACCGGCTCTATGCAACATTAAACTCAGAAAGAGATTGAAGTTTAGCATGAACACCAAAAGAAACAGGATCTATAGGTTCTAACACAAACCATATCAATCAAAAGAAGTATAGAAATTAACGAAAAGGCTAAACCATATATCAGTAACCATAATACCAAACGGGACCTAAAGAAAAACATATAAGTTGCATATATTTCTACACGGTCAGTATCAATGTTTCATATCACAGATCACAGAGCCATTCATTAAACAATTTTGACTACACGATAGATTAATTAAACGGGTGAGATACTCTAAAATAGATTCTATAAAAGGAAATATCACATATATACATGTAATAATTCGATAATTAGAATTGACAAAAACTTTACCTTTCGCAAGCGTCTTCGAGAGAAGAGAAAGGCCGCTTGAAATCAGGGTGGCAGACACGCCAAGCATCCTGATAAGCGAATTGAAGCTCTATATGATTCAACGGCCGCATCAATTTCTGCTGCTGTTGCTGCTGCTGCTGTTGCTGCATCATCTGCTGACTCGCGACAACCTGTTGCTGCTGCTGCTGCTGTTGTAGATTCGGTGTAGCCTGTCCCAAGCTAGGGTTGGGATTAGGGTTCTGCTGAGGAGGGACAATTGGTCGGGTTTGAATTGAGCCTGGAGGGCGGAGATGGACGTCGATGTTGGAAGGGAATCTAGACATGGCGGCTTGTTGTTGTTGCTGTTTCTGTAGCTGTTGTAATAGAAGCATCTGTTGCTGACGCTGTTGTAATTGGTGTTGATAGAGTAGTTGCTGTTGTTGTTGTTGTTGCTGTTGTTGCTGGGGATGATTCCCTACCAATGGCTTCGTCTCCTCCATCTTTCTTTCCTTCCTCCGTTGTTTTGGGATCTCTAGGTTATTTTGGGAAAGTCGTGCGAGTCATGGTGGTGGTTTTAGGTCGAGAAGAGAAAGAAATATGGGCCTTAATTGGGCTCTATATTGGGAACTAGAGGCCCAATAGTTTTAGCTCCTATACTCGGTCTGAAAACAGGGAAGTTAAACCAATCGATAAACAAGTTGAACCGAGAATGTTTGACCCGATTTGATGTTTTTAAATCTTATTAACATAAAATATCGTAGGAATAAACAAATTTATAAATGGTTTAGTGTGATTCAGCGTAGTAATGAAGTGCATTTTATATAGGAACTTGGGACAAATACAAATAGCATAAATAATACATATGGCTTGGTCCTTGATACAAACAAGTAATCCTCTATGTACTTGCTTGCTTGCTTGAAGCAAACGGTGTTTAAGCTCTATTGAGTTATGACCCAAAAACCAGCTCCTTCAAAGATCTAAACGGCGAGTTGAGACCATGAGCTGTTGAATCTCTCCACAAAGCAAGTCCTGTTTTTAAAAACAATCAAGTATGTTCAGACAAGTGTTGAAAACAAAGGATGATGATGATGTAAGATAGTATCTTTGAGTGTTATCAACCTATCCATGATATCAAACCAATTGTGGATGCCACAAAGAATGACTTGCTGGTGCAGTTAGACCTGCATTTTTGGATGATCCCGGGTAATATGATAAACTCATGTACTCACGACAATAATCATTATAGCCTCAAGAGAGTTGTGCGGAGGATTCTTACAAGTATAAGCACAGAATGTTTCCATATCCATAAAAGAGAGTTGCCCATATTGAACCAGTGAACCTACATCACAGCAAAGATGAATATCAAATAAAGACTTAGCTTAGGCCTGGGAGATTCTCAAATGGGGAAGCTTAGCTTTACCACATCAAATCACGGATAAATAACGCTCTGGGGAGCATAAGCCCGTTCCCCATCATCGAAAGCAACATTGTGATTGGTGATAAGCCTTTTATGTTGTCTGGACTTAGGAAATTTGTCCACTGAAACGTAGATGAACATCAGATATCCAGTAGCTGGGAGAACGTTCAAAGAACAAGAGAAGTAAGACAAGCTGTTATACCATTTGGGAAACAGGCATCCACATGAACATAAGTGTCGCTGTCCATCCAGATAAAGACTCGACAAACTTAACACCTTCCTCTGGGAGTTTCCCTGTTCGAGCCTGCATTCTTACCAGAATAAAGTTAAGATAAAAGGAAGACTACTACATATCTTAAAAGTTGTTGTAAAAGATCTATGAACCTACGACTAAGATGTCAGAGAAACCAAACACAGACCTACAGAAACAACATCTGGCAAATCAATGATCATTTACAGTGCCAAGGCCACCATGTCCTAACATAGTGTTTTATGTTTATCAAGTCTGAAAACTCAGCAGTCAGCACAGAAACTGAAAATAAATTTGCAACGGAAAAGAAGTCGAATTTGTAACTGATAACTCCTATGTACTAACATAGAGCTTCTGCATTTAGCTCTATTTAACACCAAGGTCACAAAGTTCAAAAGCGTCAGTGGACCAATTCAATTCCTGTAACCACGATTCTTTTTAAACTAAAAATAATAATATCTCTTCAAGATGCTAGAGACGCGACCTATGAAGAGAAAATAAAGCGGAAGTACTTGAAAGCTTACCATAAATACAGCCGCTACAGCTATAACAAAGGCAGTTGTCCCAGGCAAGATACTGTTTGGTACCAGAGGGACAAAAGTTGACCACATGACCTGCGATTTCAAAGTTCAGAATCTCAGTGTCCACCTTACTGTATATGTGTCAGCTCTAATGCCTCTATCTCAGTGCAACCTACTGTACAAAGCCAAAAACTATAGGTGAAGGATAAATAGACTCACTTGAGGTAGAACACAGAGTCCACCAACAGTGATAAAGTCTTCCCAAAGTCGCCAAAGAGTTTTGCTCAGCTTACCGAAATAGAACAAACAGTTCAATATAACACCAAACGTGACAACAACCGAAGTAGCAACAAAATAGGGCATAGGCATAGCTCCAGCCATGGTGAGCTGCGTAAGAACAACGTGAGTGGAGAGGACTCCAAGTGTTTGCACCACAGCTGCTTCTTTTTCCTTCTTCTTTACGAAATAAGAAAGCAACGAAAGGTTCCCTAACAAACCAGTCAACATCCCCTGTTTTCCAATTAAAAACGTTCACTTTCAGATTCTATCCGTCACAAGTTGTGACAATGAAGACTAAATCAAACGTATCTTGGTGTATATATAGAGTGAGATTTTGCATGTAACAAAGAGTTTTTTTTTTTACCAGCCATGGGACTGCGGAAAGTGCGGTGTTGTTTCCCGCCAAAAGATTCTGAGCATTGAGGATGATCTGTGGCAATTGAAGCATCAGAAACGGAATATTCGCTCCGGCGGAGAATTTGGCCGTCCATGAATCCCATTCTTCGTATTCCTTAACTTTCCCTAAACCTGGAGATCCCTTTGAGAGAAAATCCCCCAAGATAATATTAACGCAGCAACAAAAAATATTAGCAAAGAGACTACAAGTAGAAACTATTAGAGCAATTAGAATGAACCTAAAGATTCAATTTCAAAACCTCACCTCCGAGTCAATTGCACGAACAGGAGCAGGAATGAGTCGGCGCCGAGTCGAAACAATCGGATTCCACCGAGTCAGAGCCGATTCATCGACGCCGGAACAAGAGGTTACAGCACCGATACACGCACGCTTCAGCGGGAGGCGGGAGAAGCGAGTTGAGGAAACGAAGGAAGAGCGAGGAGAGGTCGGGAAAATCGAAAAGCGGTTACTAGGGAGAGACATTGCGATGGTTTTAGCTTCCATGAGAGTCGGAGAACTATTATCTACTTAACTTCTTGTAAGTTTGTAACAGAGAGAGACGATATTGATGGCGACGAAGCAGAGGGGTTAAACGAGTGAAAAATCATCTTAGAGAGTGATGTTGGGAAATGAAATGCTGACACGTGGATCTTATTATATCGTAATTTGTGTTGCTTTACGAGCTCATGTGCTGCTTTTGTATTGATCCTAGATTTTTAGAAGATTTTTTTTTTTTTTCTTCAAGCTTCGATTTTCCCCCGTTCATGATTAAAAAAAAAAAAAAAAAAGAGTATCCTTGATTAACTTCGAAGAAAAAGCCCATAACTTAGGTTTTGCGTCTCTCAATCTCCTTTACAAACAACTACTTCTACAATAAAACTCACATCACTCGCTTCTATCACCTGGTTTGGCGAGATCAGATTTTCTTGAATGATTTTGCTTCTACAGTTTTCAATCTTTTATAACTCGATAATGCTCTGATTCGAATGACAAATAGTGGGCAAAGTTATGGATATATTATCTGTTATAAAGCTTGACTTTTGTTCTACAATAATCTCTCTTATGAATTCACTTTTTTTCAATAAGAGTAACATTATTATCAAATCAAACAATCCAAAAGAACCTGAACTGATCCCAATATAAAATAACTAAGCACTCAATTTTTAATTTAATACCTAAACACAAGCTTTGCATTGCACAATGCACAAGAGAGAAGGACACAAAAAACATGGTATCAAATGGCTTGACCAGGCCCAACAAACCTGTTTCCACTATCACATTACACAACAATTTGGTGAAGACTCAAGCATATCAGGAGACCTGTGAACATATACACAAACTCAGTCCAATTAGGTCTCTAAAGATCACAGAGATTTTTCAAAGAAGAAGACTTACATTTGTCCTAGACTAGCGAAATCAAAACCAGGATCCATCTCTTGCACTATATCACTCGGTGGTTGTCCACACTCTTGCATCTTCTGCATTATCTCCATAATCTTGGTCGAATTGTTTGGTTCGTTCTCGTACACCAAGTTGAGTTCCTTGATCAGTTCATATTGGCGCGAATAACGTTCGAAATCTTCTTTGCTTAGACTGCTTTCATGCTCTTCTAGCCATTTCGGGTATCTTGCGCCTATCTCTTTCATTGGTTCGTGAAGAATATCCTTGGATAACAGCTGTTGCATCATCGTGTCCACTATTGATTCCAAGTCCTAAACAATGAAAATATGATTCAGATACCTCTTTAAGTAGCTATTCCAATGTTATTATCATTAGCCTTGAAAGCTACTCTGCAACATGTGGTATTACTCTTGCCATAACCACAACTGTTTTTTTAAATCTCTAGCAATAAAATAACACTTCTCAGCTAAGAGGATGGCAGAACAGTGCTAAATAGGTAATGGCATACGAAACCAATCCTAAAGTTGAAATGAAGAAACGTAAAAATACAGAGAACAAATGAAGTAACAACTGATAATTTTACCTGAGATCCACTAAGATCCTCGAATTGTTTGATCCAATCTTCAACCAAAGCATCATCAGAAGAACCAGGCGGCGGCTGAAGCTGCTTGGAAGACAAGGACTCAAGCCCTTTGACAGTTTCTCTAGTTTGTTCCCTGAGTTTATCAAGAGCCTCAGCAACATGGTCCTCTTTAGAAACCTTGTTTTTTCCCTTTTTCTTGGTTCTCATATCAGGTAATCCCATTCCAAGACCTTGAACCCCACTAGGCAATGCCTCAATCTCTTCTTTTCCACTATCTTCTTTCTTCACCACTTCATCTCTACAACAAAAAAAAAACCCATTAAGCTAATCAAAAACCCTAACTCAAATAATTTTTTAAAAGTATTGGTTTTTTCATGCCTCAAAACTCACAATATTGTTATTAACAATCTTAAAACAAATCTAGGGCGATAAAGACAGTACCTTTGAGTAAGATTGAGATCCTTGAAATCATCCAAGGCGCCTGATAAATCCACACACAATTTAAAAATAATATAAAAATCAAACGCTTTCATCAATTAACAGATAAGAATTCGCAAAACGGAAAATTAATAAAAATTCGATTTACTGTCGAGAAGCTCGTCTAAGTCATCGGTGTGAGTGTCTTCGTTGGCCATTTTTAGGAAACTCTCTCTTCCTCTCACTGTGGTATAAGCACAGATGTGAAAGAAGAAGATGACGAGAGAAATATCGCAAGAGTGGAGAAAGGGCGGTGTTCCGATACGTCACGGTGAACTCATTCATTCAATCCAACGGCTGACCTTTTTCTCTCATTTTTTCCCTTCCCCTAATTTTTTTAACATCTATATAAATTATTTAGTGTGTAAAAGAATAGATAATAAATTTTAAATGCAAGAATTTAAATATTTTTTAACTAGCCTCCAAGGTTTAGAATCTGACTCACATTTATATAATCTATTAATACTAATTTTATAATCATAATTGTAAAAACACTATATGATAATATGAATAAGAATTAATTAATTACTAGGTAATAATCCGCGTCTTGCGCGGAATAAAATTATTACTTTTGTTACTTTTAAGATAAATATGATATTAGGTCTGTTGAGCATGGATATTGGTTCAGTTTTACGTTTTTCATTCTCCTAAAATATAACTATCATTCTAAATCTATATTTATTTTGGTTTGTTTAAATGTTTGATGTTTTTGATTTTTTCGATGATAACCAAAAATTATTGCTATTTGTTTGGTTTCATTTTATATAAATTTTAGACATTTGATGTCAAACTAATAGTTTCATATTATAATTTCCAAAGACATGTAAAATCAAATAAAATCTAAATAATATTTGAAGAAAAAAAATTATTAACACAAAACATTTCACTACAATTTGAACGATGGTGAAAGAAAACATTAAAAAAATATTCAACTTCAATAAGAATTAAAATTCTCACTTGTGGTGAATATTTAGTTATATAGTCGTTTATGCCAATGTGTACATGTATATATATGTAAAAGTATATAAATGTGATGATAAATATATGAATATACTGTTAATTAAGATTTTAAATATTTTTGTTCAAAATAACACATGATAGTAAATTCTTAAATAAAATTAAGTAAAAATAAAAAAAACTTAGAAATTAATAACATTTTTTTCATATGAAGAAAATCAAATTATACCCGTAAACAATAAAAATAATATATTACAAAGTGACATCTTCACTTGGTACCTGAATTCTATTTTTAATCAATTTTGTGATTTTTATTTCTTTGTAAAGCTTTTATGATTTCTGATTTTTTTTCTACCAATTTAAATTTGTTTCTAATTCTTAGTATGATATGAAAAATTTATAAAAAATGTTAATATTTGACTAAACTAAAGATGCGACTTTACGTGTTTTTCACCTCAGTTTCTTTAATTCATAATCAATCATTTTATTTGTTATTATTGTGTAGCGAATCCTCAACCATGACCAACTTCGGCAAGGTACAAAAATTTTAATTTCTACAAACATTTTTATCGCAACATTTTAGTTGATGCGAATCAATTATTTGGTAATTTTTTACAATAAAGATATTATTTCTTAGTTTCACGTAAAAAAATTTAATTTATTAATACAAAGACTAAAAATGTAGGAAAATGAATTAATTAAAAAATAGTGTATAAACACATTAAATAATGAATTTAAAAAATTAATATATGAACGCATTTATTGTCAAATTATTGTGAATTCGACACGTGTCTGTGAACGTATTTATTACAATGTTTCTCTTTTATTATATAAGAGATGAGTGCATAGAATTGATAAAACTTATCATTTGACTTACACTTGTAACATGGAAGGAAATAACCAAAATCTATTACTATAAAGTAATGTTTTCCCTCACATAAAGCTGCCATGTCATCAAATACTCTATTCTTGATGTGACACGTATGTGTTTTTCTGTAACTAAGTTCGGTTTTGGATTTTTACTGAACGATATATGGGTTTCGTTTTAAATAGAGCCCAATAAAGAGAGACAAGTATCTTCTTCACCAAAGTCACACCAAAATTTAGGGTTCATGACACCAGCAATGTTTTCTTCGATCTCTGATACTGGAAACGGTGTTAAATTGACGTGAAGAATCGCGGTGTGAATCTTCGATCCTAACGTTTTACCTTCTGTTCTAATAAATTGAAACGTATGCGTTATTGATTCATCGCCTTTATCATACCTCTTAACTCTATCAACCCACACCGACCACGTTTTGACTTTGAATGGAGCTTACACCAATAAAAAGTAAGACTTCTTCCCTTGAACATCATCCTCTCAAAACTGTGGATGTCATGAAAATTCTTTCCTCTTTTGATGGTTTCTGGCTCAGATCCTTGGTTAATAGGTTGATTATTTGACTGAAGCTTATTCAAAGTTTCGTTCTTATTAGAAGATTAAGGTCTGTTGGTCTATTAATTTACTTTATGAGAAATTTAAAAGCTTTTTTAGTATATGGAGAGGAGCTTATGTGGTTAAGTTTCTTAGTAGGCTGAGCTACGTACAAATGTGTGTTTAGGCAAAAAACAATTAGAAAGGTATTCATGTGTTTTAGGAAATTGAAGAATAAAGATGATGATAGAGTGGTTGAGAATAATGAAGGTCTGCCGCAGGCTTTGTTGGGAAGCTGCAATAATCCGATTATTATGATCGTGCAAGGCAGCTTCTGGCTTCTTCTGCAGGTCTTCCCCCAGGTTTAAAAGTTTTATCTTTCCCACACTTCATTTTTTATCATTCAGATATTTTATTTTTTTGTTTGTAGGAAATAGGGAATGGACTATATATATATAGATAGAGCACATCAATGATCCTTTAGTGACTTAACATGTTTTCTTCTCTGCAGCAAATAACAGTTTTCCATGTCTGAAGGCAGGCACCAACCAAAGTAAATGCATTCTAAAGGAACAACAACTAATGGATCTATTAAGGTATTATTGATTGTTTTTCCAAGATGTGTTGTACATTTATTCGCATGTAATGAATCCATTTTAAAATATTGGCTTCTAAGACCTCCATTGCATACTCTGAACCATATTTTTTGTTCTTCTTTGTGGAGCATTCGCTGTTAAAGGAAAAGAAAATTCAACATCAGAAGATTTTAATGGTTTCCAGTGTAAGATAACTTGCAGTTCTTCAGAGGTACAATGTCTTTTTCTGCTTAACACTATGGAGTTTAAGCTTCAAGCTTTCTCTTCGTACCAATTGGTGTTGTACATTTCCTGTAGGTCTCTTATGCAAGCAACCGATTTGATGAATTACCTCAGGAGATCACAAAGCTAGGTTGAGAAGAGAGCAGGCAATATGTACCGAGTAAGTTGAAGGCTCACACCAGATATTTGCCAAAGATACGGGATTATGCGGATATGGCGATGGATGTAAGTCTCACATGATCGTGGAGATACGAACCGAGATGAAGATAGAGAAAGAGTGGGAAGAGGGAGAAAAGGTTAGAAAGAGAAGTAAAGTTATGGAAGTTGAAGATAAGAATAATGAAGGTACTGGCAACTACATCAACGAAGTCAAAGATACATTCCCCTTTGGTTGCTTCTTATGCAGAGTGTCTTTCGTTGATTCAGTTGTCATTACTTATGCAAAGCATTACTTACGTGAGAATTGTCATTTGTCTTTATGGTTTAGCTAAGAGAGTCCTCTGCTCAACCTTTCATCACTTGGGAATTCACTTCGAGGTGCAGGGGAGGATCACAGAAGAGGACGTCTGAGAGGTCATATAAATAGTATTTAAAGTATCACCAAAGATGATGAAATAATACTTTCTGATAAAGAAGTTTTATCTTAATGTTAAGTGTTTACAAAACAGAAAGCAAACATGCACTCATTATTACTTGGGACAACAAATGATTTACAAAACAAAGTAATTTTTTTTTTAAAATTATCGGTGCTTATAGTATATGTTTAGTATAGATACAAGTTTACTATTTTTTTGATTTTTCTCACGAACCTTTTTAATAATTCGGTCATCCGAATTATAAAGATCTCAATATCTATTTATGATAATGATATTGGATTTTATCAAACTCAAAAAGCTTAAAATGTTTAAAAGTGAATTTAAGGAACATTTTATTTGTCATCAAATCTAAATTTTAGAAAATTCAAATTGATACAATACGAACCAAAAGTTCATATATTAAAAAAGAAAAATAAAATACAATATATGCTAAATAAACAAAAACCAACATTTATTAATCCATTGTATTTAATAATATTACTAATCCAAGGGTCAATCCAAATATATATAAAGCGATATGTCATAAAAAAAAAACATTTTAGCCATCTACATCATACTCCATCCGTTTCACTTTATTTGTCATTTTAGATTTTTACACTCAGACTAAGAAAACATTTAATTTTACATATTTTCAAGATAAAACACAATTACCTATACACCTAACCACTTTTCAAGCAATAGAAAAATAGAATATCATATAAAGCTAATAAATTTTGTCTCGAAACTCTAAAACGACACTTATTTTAAAACGTTTTTTTCTCTAAAATGACAACTAATTCGAAACGGAAGGAGTACTCTAACAAAATTTTAATATGAAAACAGAAAATTCGTTATCGCATCTATACCAAAAAAAATTATACTTTAATACACTATGCATTAAACAGGTTCAGCCATGTTTTAAATTCTAATCTAATTTTAAATTAAGTAGCTGTATATATGTAGAATCACAAATTTTATTTAATTTTTTTTATTATCATATTGTTAGAATCTAAAAATAATATGAAAATAAAATGAAAACCTCAAAATAATAAAAATTTAAAACAAATTGACATATTTAGATATATATTAAATAACCAATATGATTTGTTGAAATCTTTTTAAAATTTTAATTTTTTTAATTTTTAACTTAAATTAAAAAAAAAATTAATATCGAACCGAATCACCATTTTTTAACAGTTTTTAATTTTGACCGGATTTACTAATTCAATCTAAACCTATCTTTTGGCATAGCCCGACAATAAACAAAAAAGAATAAAAGTGAAATCAATAAACTTATACTAAATTAAATAAAATAATATATATATATATATATATACTTATATAATAAAAATAGAACAAAACTTTATTAATAACTGTAATAATCATATTAAAAATATAGTCAATCGAAACTTAAGTTGAGTAGTTTACAACAAACAAATTAAACGAAAAAACTGATATTATTTTTTGAAAAAACAACTATTAAATAACGATCAACACATAATATAAAAAAATCATTGAAATTAAAAGTAAACAGTAAATAAAAATATAATGGAATAAATGCTTGCGTGAAGCACGAGCTTACCCTGATCTACATATGCCACATCACACGAGAAATAAAGATCCATTATACACACATAAATATTCGATATGGCACTTACTGCCAACAACACCAATATCCAAAACTATAAACATTTACAACTCATTAAGATCATGCAAAATTTATAAATTCAATATATCCATAACCAAACCAAACTAAATTATAATAAACATATAATCTCACCTCTCCAAAACTTTTAAAATTACAAAACAAAAACACCATACCAAAACTTTCCTATGCACATATATTACAAAGCACCAAAACATACAATTTTTTTAATATATAATGTATATCCCGCCCGTAGGGCGGGCCGACCCTAGTAAACTATATTTTAAGACTTCACCTGAAAACGTTTTGAAAAAGGATATACAGTATTTAAGTTTAAATCCACTTACAATTGTTATATTATATACTTGTCAAACACAATATTACATTTTCATTGTAGTTTAGTTATTTATTTAAAATGTAAACAAAAATATAAATTTAAGTCAATTATATTGATATAAGTGGAGATGGATGTGTTAAGAAAACAATTTTTTTTAGTTTCTCAGTTAAACTACTCTTTTCTCGCATTTCTATGCTTTTCTACACTATAAGTGTAGAAACCATTGGGTGCTCGTGAGTAATGGTTGATAACTAAACATTTGGCTTAGCTTGTAAAACGGCTAATCGGCTAGGATATAAATATATCATAACATATAGACATAGCCATGAACAAAAAAATAAAACGTTTTAAAACAGGAAAATAAATAACAACATAGTTTTTCACACTCAAATCTTACACTCAGTTATCATCATCAGCTACAACAATGCTGATGGAAATTTATTGAAACCCGAAAGACACACACACATGAATGAATAAATGTAGACCAAAGGAGACCAATCGATGTGAAATTACTCACATTTTAATATTTGATCTGGTGCATTGGTAAAACCATTTTAACAATAGCAGTGACAATGAAGTGAACCGCCAGCTACCTCCGGTTCACATCTGCCCTCATGTGCTGGACTTTTGGCTGCCTTGCAATAAGCATCACAAGGTCCATCACCGCTAACTTCAGAACATAAAGCCTCGGGTCCTTCGCCGTCCAAACCAGGACATTGCCCATTCACCTTTGGTATTCCTGTTTGAGCCGTATGCAAAATTGTTAGTCGATTATCAAGTACTTAAGCAACGCAAGATATAAAATAAAAAGATTAGATATAAATATGATGTACCACTTGAAACAATCAAGACGAACATCATGAGAGCTGATAAATAGAGAGTGTTGATGAATATCTTTGCCATTTTGATTTGCTTTTCTTTTTGTTATGCTTCAATTCTGAGTTTGTTTTTGTTGCATGCTATGAGAAAGCTTGGAGTCAATATATAGGGCAAATTAATTGACTTTTTCTTCTTCCTTTCCTTCATTGTCTGTAACTATGCTATTATATAAGAACTTTGTTTTTTTGAGTGAATCTATTATTATTATTACTTTTCTTCATGAATATGTTATACATTGATATAGTTCCACGTGTCAACATAAGACCACCCCATTAGAATATCAAGAGGGGGGTTCACACAGTTCCCAAAAAACAAAACAATATAAAAAACATTTTTCTTGAACCTGTATCACAAAAATTCCCGGTGGTGATACCGGTTCGCCACGTAGCGGATCATGATACGTTGATTTTTTTTTTTTTTCAAAAAGAGTCAAACGAAAAAAAAATAATTAAAAAGTGACATTGGGAATCGTGCCAACAGAGTATTGCTGATGGAAATGCTCTAAGGTCGCCATTTTTGATTAAAAAAAATGAATTGATCCAATTGCCATTAGATGTTATAAAACCTACGTTTTATCTTATTTTATTTATGAACTTTGGAGTATGATTTTAAACATTATAATCAAAACATCACCTCCATAGATGTAGATGGGCTTATAAAATTATGTAAAAAATAAACTTCACATTAACGAGTCTCTCATCCAATGTACCACAAATCAGTATACGTGCAATCATGTTTAATATCATTCCGATCAAGAGAGCAAAGTATATTTAGAATGCCATATATCTTCTGATCTTACTGAAAGTCTGAAAGAATGATGCATTACCAAACTTCGTATATACCGTATAAACAGTCAGAAATGATTTTAATAATTAATTTACTATAAAGCTGAGACTGCCAGCAAAATGTCAACACACGACTTAATCAGATGACCACATATGATTATATTTCAACAAGTTTATTTATGTACTGCCGTATACATCAGGGCCGGCTCACTATCATTTTCAAACGTATACATTTTCAATATATTCTAATTCCTTTTTAATGTTTTCAATGAAAATTTAAAAGAAAAAAAAAAACTGAAGTCATTGACTTAAAAACAACTTCGTAGCTTCCAGCCTTCCACACATACATACAATGTAGTTCAATATATAGCCAATTAGGATTAAGCACAAATACTTGATATTCGATTTATACTCATTACTTAGTTCGGTTCAGTTTGAAAAATAAATACTTGTTACAATTTTGTTACAATCAAATTGAGTAACAAGTAACAGATTTTATTACTCGCAAATACAAGTCAAGTATCAAATTCATTTTTATTTTTAATTACTTGACGTGTTACTTAGTTTGTTACTTGTTATCATTTACTTGTTTCATTATTTAATATATATTATTTGGTTAATTAAATACTTAATTTCCATTTTATTAGTTAATAAAATTGATATATTACATTTTATTGGTGACCACAATTACTCGTTATTTACCTCTTATTCGCTATCTGGTGGATATATAATCTTTAAAATTAGTATTGTTATGAGTGACCAAGTTAAATATGAAGTAATCTATTTAAACTACTTGTAATATAAAATAAATATCAAATATTAGATAAATTAATTATTTGACGTTATTTTGTTTGTTACTTGTGTTTGTTAATGAACATAGATATATTTTCTTAAATCATAGTAAAATAACTCATTTTTATTTCCATTTTCATAAGTACATCAAACATAATTGCTATATTTATATAAGCATCTTGAAGTTTTTTCTTTCTTATATAATTTATTTCCGAAATGACTTAAATACAAGAAAACAATAATATATTATTTATATAATAATTTTATTTAATTTTAGATTCTAATGAACTATTAAATAATTACCAATAATTATGAAGGAATTTGTAAATAATTTACAAGTAACAAATAATAAAATAAATCAAGTAAATTTTTTTGCAAGTACTTAAAATTGCAAGTACTTATTTTTAGTAAACCCAATACAAATCAAATATTTACTACTCGTACAAGCTAAACTGAATATTAATTATACTAAAAATAT